GCTGGCAAGGATTATGATGCGTCATTCCTACTTGGCAATGGCTCTCAGCAAGAAAGCGCCCCACTTCCAGGGCATTAAGGTGTCTTCCCCATGTGAACTTTGTGGTACCTGAGGAAAGGCATTTGGCTGATAGCTTTCTCATATTCAAAACATTTATAAGGCCCTACTCCAGAGTGAAATCTGGTGTTGAATGAGGCCAGAGCTTTGGCTAAGATTTTCCACACTTAAGACCCTCTAGGGCCTTTCTCCAGTGTGAACTCTCCTATGGTCACTGAAGTTGAAGTACACATTTGCTGCACTCATAGAGCCTTTCTTCAGTATGAACTGTGTGGTGTTTAAGGAGTGCAGACCTTTGGCTAAAGGATTTCCCATATTCACTGCACCCATAAGACCTTTCTCCAGTGTGAACTCTCAGGTGTAGAATAAGGCTGTAGTACTGACCAAAGGATTTCCCACATTCACTGCACTGATAAGGCCTTCATCCAGTGGGAATGTTCTGGTGGTTTAGAACACTGGAATTGTAGGTAAAGAATTTCCCACACTCATAAGGCCTTTCTCCAGTGTGAATACTATGCTGTTGCGGGAGTGCAGAGCTCTGGCTAAAGAATTTCCCACATTCACTACACTTAAAATGCCTTTGTCCAGTGTGAATTCTGTGATGTTAGATTTGGTTGGATCTTTAGATAAATATTTCCCACATTCCCCACACTCAAAAGGCCTCTATCCAGGGTGAACTTTCCAATGGTTATTGAGGCTACAGCTCTGGCTAAAGGATTTACTGCATTCAAAGGCCTTTGTCCAGTGTGAACTCTCCAATGTTGAAAGAGGTTAGAGCTTTGGCTAAAGGACTTGCCACACTCTGAGCACTTATAAGGTCTTTCTCCAGTGTGTACTCTGGTATTTAATGGGACTGGAGCTATGGGTAAAGGATTCCCCACACTCTCTGCACATGTAACATCTTTCTCTAGTGAGGACTCTCTAATGCTGAGTGTGTTTGGGGATGAACACTTCATCACATTCTTCCCAGTTACAATGAGCTTTCTCCTGCTAGAGGCAGCACCATACTTGGTTTTGCTATTTGACTTTTCCACAGGAAGAAGACTGTTGATGGAGAAATTCCAAGCTGGTCAGGAAATCACTTCCAACCTCCCTGTGTATAAAGGCCTTCCTGGTTCATGGAATTTACAGTTCTTCACAAATGAGGTTCTGCCCATATCACTTCTGAATGGCTTCTCTTCAATATGCTGATTCTTGTGCTGAAAATTTGTACAGAAATAGAATTGTTTCTCACATGCTCAACACATGCACATTTTCTGCTTGTGGTGTGCTTTCTTATGCTCAGCCAAGTGAAGGATGTCTTTTAAGATAAGGCCACACATCTCACAGAGGTTGGACTCTTGGAGACATAGAACTGACTTGGAAGTCATAATCTGTGACACTTCCTCTTACAGAAATACTCTGCTCAGAAGTTGCCTCCTCATCCTCTATTCCACACCACCAACCTGAAAGAAATAATGAAATACATATTGATGCCGTTGAAGGAGACAGCTCCATTACAAACATTTCTTGCATGTGGAATGCTCCCAGGAACAAGTCTATGAGACTGCTTAAAGGACAAGGAGTCGGTGTTGAGGATGAGAATGAACTGCTTAACAAAACTGGGCCCTGACAGTCACAGAATGGGGGAAGCCTTAGGAGGCCAGAGATACAATTGCAGGTGTGACACAGGAGAGGCAGGGCCTATGACTTGTTCTTCTGTAAATAACTTTGTCAGGACCTTGTCTGCTGCTGACACCCAGGGCTATGCAGGTGGGTATATCCTAGAAAACCACCACAACACAGCTTCCAGTGCTCAGGACCAAATAAGAATGTGTGCACACCTCAGGACCAAACATGAAGAAGCTGATGCTAGAGAACCATGCAGAGAGCATGGAGAGACATAGGTGAGACCCAGGGCCCAGATATGAATTACTGATATGAACTATACATACCACCCCAGGATAAAAAAAAAAAATCACACTGCATCCAGATGATGCAGGTAGTAAGAGAAAAACAGGAGAGGCCAGGGGACACCAGCCAGCAGAGTTCAGCACATAGCAGCCTGCAGGAAAGGAAAACATCATCACAAAAGAACTTCAGGGAGGATGCTGAAAGAACAGCTCATGGTCTACTGAGGAGCCAGCACCTAGGAACCAGCAGAGTCTGCACAGGCAGGGTGAGGAGATGTTAGTTATAAATGGGAAGCAGTACCTAGAGGACATGGGGCACTGGATATGGGAAGGCCACTGTCAGCAAGAGGGAAGTAAGGGGGACCCATTAGGGTGACTGCAAGCCCCCTCAACCTGCATCCTCTACAGCCAGGCTTCACAGAAGCTGGGGTTGTTCCAGAAAAGAGCAGTGTTCACACTGCAGCCCTGAAATCAAAGCACCGACCAAGGGAACTGGGGAGGAAGTTGAGCCTATAGTCCTGAAATGCTGCTGAGGAGGAAGGGAAGGGCAGAGACCATCTCAGAGCACAGAAGCAGGTGTGAAGACTTTACCCAGAGAAGTATAAGTGCCAGTTTTCCCACCATCACATCATGGTACAAGCATCTTTGAACCTCATCAAGGAGATCCCACTCTTGAGGAGAAATAGAAATCCAATCCTCAAAGGTCACAGTGCCCTGCCAGGTGGGGAGAGATGACATCATAAACAGTCCCCTCCTGAAGCTCCACAATCCATCCTCATCTACCCCATGCCCATCTTCTTCCAAGCTCCATATCTCAGAGGAGAAACCAGGCCCTGGTGTCATTGGTGTCACTGTCTACTCATAGGCCCGAAGATTGTCCAGCCACCAGGCACAAGGGCAGTGACACAAAGAGACATGCAACTGTGGGCTTAGCAAAGAAGCATCCAATGCTAGTGTCAGGTAATCCTCTGTATGACTCAATTCCAGGCACCTGGGGCCATCACACCATTCTCTAGACTGCACACTCCTCACGTCTGGACTTCACAGACATTTCCATCACAACCCTCTCATGGCCCCATGCTAAGCATTTCCCTGGCCTCTTCACATTCCCCTCTGTACCCCACTGGTGAGAGCAGAACTGTCCCCTAGGGTTATGGGGATGGCAAACACACAACACATGACACTTAGGCAGATGAGGTCCAAGCAACTTATTAGTCACATATATTCCCAACCTGGGAAAGGAGAAACCACACACCATCAGGGGTTGCACTATAGATAAGAATGGACAACCAGAAATTGTGGGATGCATGTTTCCTAGGATCAAGAGGGCAAGGTGACCCCTGATTCCTATGGTACGGGTATGCAACTGGCCTTACTCCATCACTGGTGGGGAACTAAAACTCACTACCAATGCACTGATTCCAACTTGATAAAAAGGTTTACTTACTTGGTAGACCTTACCCAGGGTATAGAGTGGGGAGAACCTGTACTCGGGGCATAGAAACCCATCACAACTGGCCTTGATTCCAGGCCTTACATCTCATCTTGGCAAAGAGCTGCAGAATAAACCTTCCAAGTCAACTTCCACGGCACCCAGGGCTCCTAATGCAAAAGCCTTCCTGCCCAGCTTGATTGGAATCTGATACCCAGCGCCTTTCCACTTCTGGCCCCACCTGCCATCCCCTCAGTTGTAAAAGTCTTCCTCTGCCCACCAAACCTTCAAAGCCCAGTTCCGCTGCTCGCTCTCCGAGCACCATGTCGCCCTGAGATCACAGGCACAGCTGGCCTCATCTGCCAGGCTGGACCAAACCCTGCGCCCCGCTCCCCCAGGCACAAACCCTGGAGAGCCCAGGGACCCTAAGCTCGACTCGGGCCTGAGTGTCTCTTCCCTTCTCACCCCTCTGCTGCCGAACACTGCTCGCCCACTCTTCCTCTGAAAGCCTTGACCATGCAGGACTGTCCTGTCCCCAACACGTTCTCCCTTCACGACCACCGTGCACTTATGTTCAGGAGCCCAACACATTCCTCAGCCCAGAAACCCAGGCACGTCCCCGGCCCTGCACCGACGCGGGAGCCCGCGGGAAGAGGCGGCCTCTTCCCCGAGCCCCAGCGGACTGCCCCGGCGTCTGCCTCGGTGCTCTTGTCCCTGCGCCCGCCGTGGGGCTCAGGGAAGGGATGCCGCCTCCGGTGCGGGAGAGGCCTCGTCGCCTTCGTACGTTCTTCCTTTAACTGTCTCGAACGTTTAAAAACCCCACCACGAGCGGCGTCCCGGCTCCGCTCCAACCCCCCAGATTCCAGCGGCCTCACAGGAAAGTGGCAGGACTCCGCCCCACTCTTAGTGGACTCCGGAAGTCCCGCCCCGAGCGCGAGTGTGGCGGAAGTGCCGCCCGGCGCAGGCGCGGCTGGGTGACGTGTTTCCGTGGAAGGAGGGGGGCTGCCGCGAAGGACGCCGGGAAGCGCCAGGGCACGACTGGAGGGCATGGGTCCGTCCAGTCGGGCTTTGGAGACTGGTTAGTGCTCGCACTGGTTTTGGAGGTTCCACAGCTGAGCAGTGTTATTTGTTGATGGACATTAAAGCTTGTTTTGCCATGGTGTCTATCAAATGAGCAAGCTGATGGCAGTGGTAGCTGCTCAACAAATAGCTGTAGGTAGTGTTTTGAAAAGCAGTTGCTGTGGACTGAATGTGTCCACCCAAATTCATACCTTGAAGCTCTAATTCTCTGTGATGGTATTTGAAAACGGAGATGTTGGGAGGTAATTAGGTCATGAGAGTGGAGCCCTGGTGAGTAGGATTAGTACCCTTACTTACAACCTCACAAAAGCCAGGATTTTCTCTCCCTCTCCATCTCAAAGATCCCTCACCAGAAGCCAACCATGCTAGCACCCTGATCTTGAACTTCAGCTGCCAGAACTATGCGACATAAATGTGTTTTTTCCCTTTAAGCCACCCAAACTAAGATACTTGTTAAGGAAAGCCAACCAGACTAAGGCAAGTGACTTCATGTTAGTGCCTCCCTGAGTTAGGATTTTGTCTAAGAGTAGCTGGGCAGAGATAAGGATGTATTTGGGAACACTGAAGGCCCCCAGGCCCTGAGAGTTGTGAATCAAGGCTGCTCCCTGGCTGCTATGTCATCCTGCTATCAACTGGAACATCTGTCCCATATGTGGTTCTTTCCCTCACTATACCCCACATGCAGCTTCAAACTAYTGGCTGGAAAGTTGTTTAGGGTTTTTGTTTTGGCAGTGCTGGAGGTCGAACCCAGAGCCTTCTGCATACAAGGCAAGCACCCTACCAACTGAGCTAATTCACAGCCCTGAAAGGTTCTTTAGACTGCCCCAGCCTCTACTACACAGCACCCCTGTTCCTGTGTCACATTGTCTTTTATAACTTTTCAAGTTTAGGAAATATGGAAATTGAAAACAAAAGTCAGGAGACTGGTCTGTCTTCAGCTCATCCTCAAGTTAGACTAAATCTTTTTTGTTAATAGCTCGTTTGAGACTTAATTAATATACCATGCAATTCTCTTTTAAAGTGTACAGTTTTGGGTTCTGAAAGTCAAGCTCAGTGATAGAGCATGTACAAGGACCTGGGTTCCATTTCCAGCATACCCACACACACACAAAAAAAAAAAAAAAACACAAGTGAAACTCTGTGGTTTTCAGCATATTCACAAGGTTGAACAGCCATTACCACTATTAAATTTTGAAACATTTTCATTACCCCCAAAATAAATACCATTCCCATTAGCAATCAATCCTATTTCATCCCCCCCCCCAGCTCTGGAGCCAGTAACCCATTTTCTGCAATTGCAGGTTTGACTGTTCTCTGTATAAAAGGAGTTGTATAGTGTCTTGCTCCATACACGTAGCATGATGTTTTCTGAATTCATTTATGTTGTGGTGTACATCAGTACTTCATTTCTATTGCTAAAAAAACTGATTGTATGGATAGATTGCATTTTGTTCATCCATTTATCAACTGGTGGACATTTGGGTCATTTCCACTTTCAGCTCTTCTGAATAATGGCATTATGAATATTTGTGTGCAAAGTTTTGTGTGGACAGGTGTTTTCAATTCTCTTGAATGTGTATCTAGGAGTAGAATTGTTGGGTCAGGCAGTAATTCAGTGTTTAACTTTCTAGAAACTGCCAGACATTTCCAAAGCAACTGCACCATTTAGACTAAATATTGCCTCCTGTGTTTTCACAGCCCTTGGCAGCTCCTGGCTTGTAGCTTGCTACATTTGGCTATGTCTATGGCTCCTCACTGCAGGCCACTCTGCTCCAGAGAGCTGACATCCACAGGCATGACTGTCTTAATCTGGTGTCATTTATTGTGACAACCTCAGTCTCTTCATGTGTAAAATAGTCACAAATAAATGCCTGGAATTGATAGAAAATGACAAAGAGAAAGATTTGTTTAATGAAAGCATTTTGCTAGCATGGTATGGGGTCCTGCCCAAAGAAACTATCTGTGCCTCTATCTGAACCTGTGAGGAGCAAGAGAAGAAAATCCTGACAATTTCTCCTTGTCCCTTAACACAGCTGGATTCCTTCTGTTCTCCAATCAAGCTACAATTGTTCATGGATGATCAGCGCTAGGAAGCAAGGGTTGCTCATCATAGGAATTTATTTTCTGTGACATACTTCCGATGCTGTTTTCCCTGGAGTGCTCTTCTCCGGGCTCTCCTGCTGCGTCCTCAGCCACCGCTGCCATGTGGTCTTGTCAGCCTGGTGAGCGCACCCTGCATCTCCCATGTGCTTTCACAGATTCTCCATTTTTGCACCATACATGGCATCCTTTATCTTTTCTTTCATTAACTTTTGCTCTTCCCTCAATTTCTTCTTTTCAATATTTTCCCTCCTTTTCAATCTGATAACTAAAATGTAGAGATGAAGTTATTGAGACGTGAGTAAGTGAGGAATGAGAATGGAGAAGAAAGGATCGAGGGTGCAGCATGGGAAATGAAGGAACAAGCAGTGGGCTTCTTGAGATGATAAATGTTATTTAATTTTAATGTCATTTCCCTTTTGTATATAAAAACTTTATAAATGCCTAATTTTTAAAAAGAACAAGTAAAAGTCATAATCCAATGTAACAAAAAGATATTGAAAAAATATTTTCTATTAGGTTATGAAAAGGGCTCCTGGGTCTTTTGGCTCTTTTGGGCTGTCCATGTCTGGAGTTGTKAGAGGGAATCCAGAGGTGGGTATCAGTGTGACTTGATCAGACAGAATCACATGTGTTCCCTCTAGAGGTTTGTAACAGGTGTCCAAGAATCTCAGAACTTTTAGAGATCAGTGAGCAGGAGCATTCAGGCCACCCCTTCACAGTGGGCAGGCACCCCTGGGGGTAGGGGCATCTGTTCTGTGATCCTGGWCCTACCTCCACAGCAGACTGAGGCAAAGAAATATCTGCATAACTGTGTCCTAAACGTGATAACAATGTCATAGAAACAATTATATTTAAGGGAAAGTTTTGTTCTGCAAAGTGTACTTCCTGGACTCTGTCCCAGGGTCCTTGGGATCACCATGCATCAGGAAACAAGCAGCCTCACAGCCATCAGCCTTCCAGGATGGAGGAGAATGGCTACTTCTGTGGGTGTGGACACAGGTGTCCATCTTTCCTACCAGGGAATCCACTATCTCCCACTTATCTTTGCTCTTAAAAACTAAACCATTAAAAATTGCTGGCCAAGCTTTCTTGTGACCTTGTACCCACTTAGTCAGACTAGCCCGTCACTACCTGAACGGATGAACTTCCCCAGCTCCTTCTCGTTCTCTGGAAGCAGGTTGGTGGACTCATCCTCAGAAACTTCCTCATATGGTATCTCAATGTTTTCATAAAGCACCGCAAGCTGCTGCTTCTCCTCAGCCTTTACCAGCCTACTGGAGAGGAACACATGAGTTCAGGTGCAGTTTTCATGGTGAATCATTGTCTTACTCATGTACCATTTTAACAGCAAAGGAGGTGGCTAGTGGGGATGGAGGAGGAAGCCGACGATTAAGTAAGACTGATCATGAGAAGACCTCAGATTTCTGGGATGACTGGCCAAATTCTGGAGGAAGGAGTGAGTCTGATAATCTGAAATTGTGGATCAAAGCCAGGACTAGGAATGAATGAGGCACTCACATTGGGTACAAAATTTAAGGGGTTGGTAAAAACAAACAGAAAACCTACCATCAAGACAAATCATGATTCAATGTAATACATTACAAAATAAAAACTAAAGCCAAAAATGTATCAGAAACACAATAACAACAATTTGAATAAAGGCGGGTGGGGATTAAAAGTCTTCCTTTTGCTGAGGCTCCATAACATGGCTCAGCCCAGCACTGTCACTGGTTCTGTATTGAAAGTGTTGATATTTTGGTCACTGTGGATTTTTTTGGCATTAATCTAAATTTTAAAAGTACTGCCTTAAAATAGTACTTATCCTGCTTACTGAGTTTTTTGATACTCCCTTAAACTGAGGCTACTGAAGGGAAGTCACCCTTCCTGTGGTCCAGTCCTGGAGTGGATCCGGGAGCCGCTCTTCCTGTTCACTGTGGACCATGACACAGGGTCCTGATTTTTCCTGACATCATTGCCCTCCCAGTTCTGTGTGACCCGGGTAATGAAAGTTACTTTAAGGGGACCATGATGAGAAAGGTTGTGGGAGCATCCAGAGCTTGCTATGGATGGCAAGAACTGGACTGGTAAACTTTACCAAAGTTGATCATGATATCGGGTAGAATGAGGCCTTCACCTCAAGAACAGAGTCTAAGAGGTACCAAAACACCCAGGCACCAAGATAGATACTAACACAATATTTTCAAAAATTGAAATGAATGACCCCAAAAAAACATAAGCCAAATATTAAAATCTTAAATGAAGATAGGATCCCAATGCTGATTTTAAGTGATTTTTCATTTCCAAACACTAAAATAAATGAGATTGTATTCAAAAATTGAAAGTCACAACATAAATTGAAATATTTTATCTAAAACAAAACTAGAATTTGTTAGAATTTTACCTTCCTGGTTTAAATGAAAGTAAACTTGCCAGTAGTATTTTYGAAAGCTACTTCCGTGAAAGAGAAACCAGTAGAGAGAGACCAGTACATAAGAGCATGCTTTTGGGGCCACGTGTTTTTTCTTCTGCCCCAGACTCTAGGCAACTTGTGAGGCACATAAGAGGTGGCACAGATGATGACGGTCACAGGGTTAACTGTAGGTCAGTGCTTTATCCAGCACTGAACTTCAGCAATGTTTTAGTGACCTAAGTTAGAAGCTTGAGATAGCAATTAATCACATTTCAGTTACACCCATTAAGTCAACCCAGATTATCACCTCAGATAACCCAGGACCAAACAGCAGGCTCCATGCTGGTTAGTGGAGCACCTCCCATTTTACTTTCCATCTCATTTTACCTTCAGTTGACCTAGTCCAAAGTGGTCTTTGAGTGGCTTTCTTAAAAACATTCCACGTGTGGCAATATGTTCCTTGTTCTCACACCTAATCCTCAAAGAGCAAATACATTTGAACTTCTGGGGCTGTTTCTGATGGGTGGGTGGAACTCCTGGGAGTAGGAAACACAGTGTAGACTCTGGGCCAATAGCACAATGTCACTTTACAACTAATTTTTTAATCTTTTATTTGTTCTACTTAGTTATAGATGACAGCAGAATGCATTTCAATTCATTCTACACAAGTGGAGTGCAACATTTCCATTCTCTGGTTATATACAGTATAAAGATGCACCATTGGTGCAATCACACATGTACCTAGGGTGATGATATCCATCTCATTCCACCATCTTTCCTATCTTCATAACCCCTCTACACCCTCTCCTTTGCCCAATCCAAAGTTTCTCCATTCTTCCTATGCTACCCTCATCATAGATCAACATCCACTAATCAGAGAAAACATTTGCCCTTAGTTTTTTGGGATTGGCTAACTAAGCTTAGCATAATATTCTCCAACTCCATCCATTTACCTGCAAATGCCATAATTTTATTCTATTTTAATGCTGAGTAATATCACATTGTGTATATATATCACAGTTTCTTTGTCTATTGACTATTGATAGATATTTAGGTTGGTTCCACATTTTAGCTATTGTGAATTCAGCTGCTATAAACATTGGTGTGGCTATGTCACTATAGTATGCTGATTTTAAGTCCTTTGGGTATAGACTGAGGAATGGGATAACTAGATCAAATGGTGGTTTCATTCCAAGTTTTCTGGGAATCTCCTCACTGCTCTCTAAAATGGTTGCACCAATTTGCAGTCCCACCAGCATTCTATGAGTACCTTTTCCCCCCACATCCTCTACAACACTTTTTATTGCTGGTATTCTTGATAACTGCCATTCTGACTGGGGTGAGATGAAATCTTAGTTTTAATTTGCATTTCTCTAGTTACTAAAGATGTTGAACACTTTTTCATACATTTGTTGATCACTTGTACATCTTCTTCTGACAAGTGTCTGTTCAGTTCCTTAGCCCATTTATTGATTGGGTTGTTTCTTTTTTTTTTTTTTTGGTATTAAGTTGTTTGTGTTCTTATATATCCCAGAGATTAGTGCTCTATCTGATGTACGTGTGGTAAGGATTTGCTCCCATACTGTAGGCTCTCTCTACACCTCAATGATTGTCTCCTCTGCTGAGAAGTAGCATTTTAGTTTGAATCCCTCCCATTTACTGATTCATGCTTTTATTTCTTGCACTTTAGGACTTTTGTTAAGGAAGTTGGGAACTAATCCAACATGATAAAGATTTGAGCCTATTTTTTCTTCTATTAGGTGCAGAGTCTCTGCTGTAATTCCTAGATCTTTGGTCCACTTTGAGTTCAGTTTTATGCATGGGGAGAGGCAGAAGTTTAATTTCATTTTGCTACATATGGATTTCCAGTTTTTCCTGCACCATTTGTTGAACAGGCTATCCTTTCTCCAACGTATGTTTTTGGTGCCTTTGTCTAATACGAGATAACTGTATTCATGTGGGTTTGTCTCTGTCTCTTTTACTCTGTACCATTGTTATACATGTCTATTTTAGTGCCACTGCCATGCTATTTTTGTTACTATTGCTCTATAGTATAGTTTAAGGTCTGGTATAGTGATGCTTCCTGATTTACTTTTCTTGCTAAGGATTGCTTTAGCTATTCTGGGTCTCTTATTTTTCCAGATGAATTTCATGATTGCTTTTTCAAGTTCTATGAAGAATTTCACTGGGATTTTAATAGAAATTCCATTAAATCTGTATAACAGTTTTGGTATTATGGCCATTTTGAATATTCTGTCTATCCAAGAGCACAGGAGATCTTTCCATCTTCTAAGTTCTTCTTCAATTTCCTTCTTTAGTATTCTGTAGTTTTTATTGTGTAGGTATTTCACCTCCTTTGTTAGATTGATTTCCAAGTGTTTTGTATTTTCTGTGGCTATTTTGAATGAGGTGATTTTCCTAATTTCTCTTTCAGTGTATTCATCACTTATGTATAGAAATGCCTTTTATTTATGGATATTTTTATACYCTGCTACTTTGCTGAATTTATTCATTAGTTCTAGAAGTTTTCTGATGGAATTTTTTTTGATCAATTCCATGTCATTGGCAAAGAGTTATAGTTTTGAGTTCTTCTTTTCCTATGTGTATCCCTTTAATTTCTTTTGTCTGGTTGCTCTGGCTACAATTTCAAGGACTATGTTGAACAGAAGTGATGAAAGACAATATCCCTGTCTTGTTCCAGTTTTTAGAAGGCTCTCAATTTTTCTCCATTTAAAATGATGTTGGTGACACTAGGATTGCTGTAGGTATACACATGGATGTATAACCAATGTGATCCTGCAATCTGTACACGTGGAAAAATGAGAATTCATACCCTATTTGAATCAAATGTATGATATGTCACGATCATTGTATTGTCTTGAGCAACTAATAAAAAATAAAATAAAATGATGTTGGCCTTCGGCTTAGCATAGATAGCTTTTACAATGTTGAAGTATGATCCTACTATTCCTAGTTTTTCTAGTGTTTTGAACATGAAGAGGTGCAGTATTTTGTTGAATGCTTTTTTAGCATTTATTAAGATAATCGTGATTCTGGTCTTTAAGTCTATTGATGTGATGGATTATGTTTATTGATTTCCATATGTTGAACCAACCTTGCATCCCTGGGATGAACCCCACTTGATTTTGGTGCACAATCTTTCTAATATGTTGTTGTTTGCCTCTGGCCAGAGTTTATTGAGAATTTTTGCATCTATGTTCATCAAGGATATTCGTCTAAAGTTTTCTTTCCTTGATGTGTCTTTGTCTGGTTTGGGTATCAAAGTGATGCTAGCCTCATAGAATGAATTTGGAATTTCTTTTCTATTTCAAGGAATAATTTGAGTATTGTTATTAGTTCTTCTTGGAAGATCTTATAGAACTTGTCTGAGAATCCATCTGGTCCTGGGCTTTCTTGGTTGGTAGGCTTTTGATAGCATCTTCTATTTCCTTGCTTGAAATTAATGTTTAAATTACCTATGTCCTCCTGATTCAGTGTGGGTAGATGATATGTTTATAGACATTTGTGTCATTGAGATTTTCTCTCTCATTGGAGTATAAATTTTCAAAATAATTTCTAATTATCTCTGTATTTCAATAGTGTCATCATGATATTTTCTCTTTCATCACAAATTTTAGTAATTTGAGTTTTCTCTCTCTTTTTCTTCATTAGAATGGCTAAGGGTTTATCAATTTTATTTATTTTTTCAAAGAACCAGCTTTTCATTTTTTTCAATTTAAAAAAATGTTTTTTGTTTCATTTTCATTGATTTCAGCTCTGATTTTAATTATTTCCTGTCTTCTATTTCTTATGGTGTTGATTTCTTCTTTTAATAAGGCTTTGAGATGTAATTTTAGGTCATTAATTTGTTGACTTTTTTGATGAATAAGCTCAATGCAGTGAAGTTCCCTCTTAGCACTGCCTTTGTAGTGTCCCAGAGATTTTGATATATTGTATCAGTGTTCACATTCACCTCTAGGAATTTTTTATCTCCTCTCTGATATCTTCTGCTACCTATTGCTTATTTAATATATTTAGTCTCCAGGTGTTGGAGTAGCTTCTATTTTTTATTTTATCATTAATTTCTAGTTTCATTCCACTATGATTTGCTAGAATACAGGGTAGTATTTTTTTATTTGCTGAGAATTGCTTTGTGGCATAATATATGGTCTACATTAGAGAAGGAACCATGTGCTATTAGAAGAAGGCGTATTCACTTGATGGTGGATGAAATACTCTATATATGTCTGTTAAGTCTAAATCATTGTGTTATTGGGTTCTATAGTTTCTTTGATTCGTTTTTGTTTGGGATATCTATCCAGTGGTGTGAGAGGTGTGTTAAAGTCACCCAATATTACTGTGTTGTGATCTATTTGCTTCTTGTAATTGAGAAGGGTTTGTTTGAYATAGGTAGATGCTCCATTGTTTGGGGCATAGATATTTACGATTGTTATGTCTTATTGGTGTATGGTTCCCTTAAGCAGCATCCCTTTTACTAACTTTGGTTTGAAGTCCACTTTATCTGATATTAGGATGGAACCCCCTGTTTATGTGCCCCATGTGAGTGATATGTTTTTTCCCATCCTTTCACCTTCCGTCTGTGGATGTCTTTTCCTATGATATGAGCCTCTTGAAGGCAGCATATTGTTTGATTTTTTTATCCAATCTACCAGTCTATGTCTTTTAATTGACAGGTTGGGCCATTAACATCCAGGGTTATTATTGAGACATGGTTTGTGTTCCTAGTCATTTTGGTGTATTTCGGGTTTTAACTTGAGTTGGTTTCTCCTTTGATTGTATTTTACTTTAGTGTAGTTCCTCCCTTTGCTGATTTTCATGGTTGTTTTTCATTTCCTCATGGATTATTTGCCAAAAATATTCTGTAGTGCCAGCTTTCTCATTGTAAATTCTTTTAATTTTTGTTTATGGTGGGAAATTTTTATTTTGTCATCAAATCTGAAGCTTAATTTTGCTGGGTATAAGATTCTTGGTTGGCATCCATTTTCTTACAGAGCTTGGAATATGTTGTTCCAGGATTTCTTAGCTTTGATGGTCTGGGATGAGAAATCTGCTGCAATCCAAATTGGTTTCCCCCCTATATGTAATCTAATTATTTTCTCTTGCAGCTTTTACAATTCTCTCCTTATTCTGTATGTTAGGCATTTTTATTATAGTATGCCTTGGTGTGGATCATTGAAATTTTGTACATCTGGTGTCCTGTAAGCCTCTTGTGTTTGATTGAAATCAATTCATTCTTCATGTTTAGAAAATTTTCTGCTATCGTTTCATTGAAGAGACTGTACATTCATTTGGTTTGTATTTGTGCCTTCCTGTGATTCTTGGTGATTCTTGGTCTTTTCATGTTGTCTCATAATTCTTGGAGGTTCTGTTCATGGCTTCTCACTATCTTCACTGTATGGTCAACTTTACTTTCAAGATTATATATTTTGTCTTCATTGCCTGAGATTCTGTCTTCCAAGTGATCTAGTCTGTTGTCGATGCTTTCTGTTGAATTTTTTGTTTATTGTTTCCTTCATTTCAAGGATTTCTGCTTGGGTTTTCTTTTCAGAGTATCTCTTTTCTTCCCAATCTTGCCACCTGTAATTCCTTTCTTCTCACTTTGTAGGAGCAGTCAATCATTGCCTGTATTATCTCTCTTAATGCATTTTTTGCTTTGCAGACCATTTTAACTTTTTACATTCTGAACTCCTCCTCTGACACTTCATGTACTGTGTTGTCAATGGAATCTATTATTGTGTGGGGCACTTTCTTCCCTTGTTTGTTCATATGGTCTGAATGTCTTTGTCTCTAGCAATGTTCAAGGGTCACTCTGCTCCTACCGTGCTGCAGGCAGGCCAGGGTCATGGTCATCTGCTGCTCCTCCTTCTGGGCAGCAGATGGGCTGGGATCATGGTTGACAACTAATTTTTTACCTCTATTTTATTTATTTACTTTTATGTGGTGCTGAGGATCAAACTCAGTGCCTCACACATGCTAGGCAAGTGCTCTTGTCACAATCCCAGCCCCCAATTTATAACTAATTTTTAAAATACCATGTCACCTGAAAGAGCCTGATTCCAAGCTTTACTTATGTTGAGAGGGTATAATATCTTCTCTAAAAGCTACTGTTTCCCTGGACAGCATCAGCAAATTTGCAGACAAAAAGAGAGCACATTTACCTCCTCCCTCTGTGCCAGGGTGACTCCAGAACACCACACTCAGAGGACACTGGCCTGGTATTTTTCAAATCCCTCCCATGGCCAGCCCACCACAGGAAATGTGTCTTTCTTCACAAATGTGCACGTATCTTCCCAAAAGTTTCAAAAATGGGCCTTTACTTTAATAGCTGCAATCTTTTCCCAAGTTTTCTGTTATACTCAGCTGTATTGTTTCTTTTCTTTTCCTTTTGAGTTACATCATGACCCAACCTAAACATGATTGGTATTTTGAAGACATGGGTCTGGAAATGTACAATGACTATAACAACTTAGCAGCAGCAGCAGGATCATCACCCTTTGACACTAAATGATACACTCATGAAGTTGTCACCTAAGGACGGTGGGTGTTCTTCCACATGCACTTACTGTATCATATAGGAGACCATGATCCCACATACCAGAGCAATGCTGAAGGCCACACACGCGATTAGAATCACTTGAACAAGAGCAGGTCTGTGCGGAATCACTGCTGACATGGAAAGAAGACAAGTGCTCAAAAATCTCATTTTAGCTGAATTTCTCAACTAACATGTGTTAATCACACTGCTATTACAAAGAGAATAGAAGACAAAAAATACCTTTAAGAATATATTCTTAATTTCTTAAATATACTAAGGCTATATTGCACAGGCTGTATAAACAAATATAATTTTAGTTCCCAACACTCTCTGATGCCTTTTTTATTTTTTAAATATTTTTTTTATTTTTTAGTTGTAGTTGGACACAATACCTTTATTTATTTATTTTTATGTGGTGCTGAGGATTGAACCCAGGGCCTCGCACATGCTAGGCAAGCGCTCTACCGCTGAGCCACAATCCCAATCCTGCCTTTTTTTTTAATCTACCTCCAATCTTCAAAGTCATCTCTTGCTCAATAGTTATACTGGTTTCTATAATGACATCTGTCATCTGGGTACATCCTGATCCCCACAGAGACCCTGTCATCTGAGTATATACTGATCCCCATGGAGACACCTGTCATCTGGGGACCTTCTGGTCATTGATGGGTACTTTTCACCTGTCATCGTGTAGCTGCAAGGAGAACGGCTTAGTTCTATGAATCCGACTAGACTTCCTCAGCTCATCTGGTACTGTAATGAAAAGGGATTACTGGGCAACTGGGGGTCGGATTCTACGAACCTCTGTTCCAAGAGTCCGATTTCAGGGTTATGGTCTGTGCTATAAAGCCGTGGCTGGTCTTTGTGAACTCAGATGTTTGACTCTTCTTTACATTATCTGAAATTTAAAACAATTACTAGGGAATTATTGTTTGTACAAGTTGAACAGAAAAAAACAGGTACATTACTCAGCTACTTATAAAACCTGCCAGTTGTCTATGTCCAGTCCCAGGCTTGGCCTCTTTCACCTTGTGTCCCAGCAGTGATATAGAATGGAKAAGTTTCTTTTTCCTCCAAAGTTGGTGATTATTATATAGGATGGACCGGGAAGAGAAAGCACAAGGTAAAATTTCTAATAATTCAAAGATCCCAATAGTAGATGATCAAAATTCTAAACAAATGAATTTCAGCTCCAGCAGGAGGCTATACGTGGAGTTCCATGAATTGAGACTTGGCTTTGTCTAGTGTTCATTTGCTCAATCCCAGCTCTGAAGTCACCCCGATCTGGTCAAGGCCAGTCTGCTTCAGTCTGTGAGGACTCTGACTCCTGTTTGATGCATGGTAAGCAATGTTCTGAAGTCATCCTTATTCAGTGTTATGAAGGGCAGCTATCCTTATTCAAGACACAGCTAGCTCTCTGTTAGTTGAAAATATACAGTGTCACTCCAGATTCAATCTCAGCAGCTCAGAAAAGATGCCCTTTCAGTGTGAAGAATGCAATCTCACTGCAGGCAAACCTACCAGGTAGATACGGCAGCTGCTTAAGTTGTCTAGGCTTCAACTTTCTACATTACAAATCACTTTCCTCAAATGGCTCTTGTAATAACTTCTAAGAGGTAGTGTTTCCAGTGTTGCTGTTCATGTTAAAAAGTTGTGACATTCCCATGGGATCCATATACTCTGAGGACCTAAAGAAACCTGTAAGCACAGCCCCTTCCCAGGCACCAGCTGTCCAGCACCAGGATGGAGAGTTTTCTGACAGCCCAAAGTGCCCTGGGGTGGAAACACAGCTTGATGCTACACAAACCACCTGGCCCGCCGGGCTCTGGGAGTGCAGGTGACCACCGTAGATGGTGAGCCATGGGTGCCCAGGGTTCTCTGCAGCTCTGACAGCTTCCTGAATGTCTGCATGTGTTCACAGCGAAATGTTGCAGAGGGAAGAGCAGCAGTTTCATGGTCAGGTGCCATGAGACTGAAAGTGGCCAATGGGAGGCCATTAGAGACAATGGAAGAGGCAGGATCTGCTTGTGTGAGAACCAAGCCCAAGTGAGCAGGCTCAAGGAGAGGAGGAGTCAGGGGAGCTTTGCTACAGATGGGGAAGGAGGGCAGGTGCATCCTGGAGGAAGCCATGGGGTCAGAGGGCAGGATCAGGAGATCGGAGTGAATGCATCGTGTACTGCATCCTGTGCAGCCTGCTGTACAAAGCACCATAAACCTGTTGGCTTCTGGACAGCAGGGCTGTGCTTCCCCAGCTCTGGACTGGGCACTGGGGGCCCTGGCTGCCCTATCAGAGGCCAGATCCTTCTCTGGACTTCTAAGGCACGAGTCCCATCCATGAGAGCACCGTCCTGGGACCTGTCCCCACAGGGCTCCGGCATAACCCAGGGCGGTGTGGTTTCAACACACTTCTCGTCACAAGGGAGGTGGCAGCACTCCACAGGATCAGCAGCTAAGGGGCCCCGTGACGGGGGAGGCTGAGGAGGAGGGTTGTACGTGCAAGGCCTTGTCTCAAAATAAAGAAAATACCATGACTGGGACGAAGCTCACCAGTGGAGTGTCCCTGGTTCAATCCCCAGGACCAACAAAACTGAACACCACAGTGCCAGGTCCCGGGAGAAGCTGCTCTTTTCCAGGGTCTGATTAGACCAAATCCCTGCCCTCTGGTCAGAGCCACCGCCCCTGAAGCCCAGGAGCAGCAAGCATTGCCACAGGCCAGCCCTGGTGCCAGCTCATGAAACATGTGGGGTCCCATTGCCTGGGGGGGCACCAGGTGCCTGGGCACGTGCTGGGCACCTGTGAGTGAAGGGCGCACCCCTGAGCTCTGGGAAGACCACAGCTACACCGACTGGTTCTCCTTCTCTGCACGTCCCCATGCTTTGATGCTTGGGGGCCAGAAGTGCCCCTCCTAGAGAGAAGGGGCAAAGGACAGCCATCCTCTCTCTAGGAGGAGAGAAACGGATAGATAGCAGTCCCCACACTGCTGGGAAGGGAGGATCCCACCTGAGCCATTACGCCCCGGGCTACTCTTTCCTGCCTTCTGGGGTGCATTGAAGGCAGAGGGGATGGCAAGGAGCACAAAAAGGAAGAGAAGGGCAGCTTCAAGAGGCAGGAGGAGCAGCAGGGCCCAGTGGCCACCCTCAGTGCGCTCCGGGGACAAATCTGCAGGAAGAGATGCTGCTGGAAAGGCCGCTCGGCTGTGTGTGAGGTCACACCTCGGGTGTCACCCAAAGGGAGCTGGAGCTGCCCCCAGCGCTGGTGTCCTCCTCTGTGGAGTGGGACCCCCTCCACTCACCCTCTGAGGGACGCTGCACTAGAGTTTGCTCAGAGGTGGTCTGCCCTGGGGTGAGGGCCTGGGGCCCACCCAGCTCAGCCCCGCGGGTGAATGGACCTCTACCCTCCTAGGCCCCTCAGCTCACCTGTAGTCCTCCCGGAGGCAGTGAGCTGGTGGGTGGGCTCAGCAGGTCTCTCTGTTTGGGCTTTGAAGAGGATCAAAGGCAAAGTTAGGCTCCAGGTCAACTAGGGAGAGTGGGGACATGACTTGGCATTAGACRGGGAGCCTGGCGGACTCCACCTCTCCAGCCTGCTGGTCAGGGGCCCAACACTGTGAGGGCTGGGCAAAAGCAGGGTGTGCTGGTGGCACCGACTCCAGGGACGGTAGTCAGGCCTGGGTGCAGCTCTGTGGTAGAGCCCTTGCGCAGCATGCACAGGCCCTGGGTTCTGTCCCTGGCACTTTAAAGAGGAAAAACAACCAGAAAACCAGGTGTTTGGATGCTGTCCACCTTTGCAGTCACATGAACTGGGACATCTAGGCCCCAGAGCTTGTGTCACAGATGGGGCCAGAGCCAGTGGGCGAGCACAGAGCCCCTCCTGAGACACACACCACACACAATACATGCTGCACACTAGGACATGGTGCGACAGCCTCTCCCAGGTCCAGACCAAGACTGCTGATGAGCACCACACTCAGCGTTGCTGCCTGGCCTCACAGACAGGCAGGGTGGGCTCTGCTGTTTTAAGATAAACAGCTTCCCGTTCTCAAGTTAAAAAGAAAGCATAAGCTGGGAATGGTGGCCCAGGCCTATAACCCCAGCAACTCTGAGGTGAGGTGGGAAGATTGCAAGTTCCAGACCACCCTCAGCAACTTAGTGAGACCCTGTCTCAAATAAAAATAAAAAGGGCTGGGTACGTAGCTCAGTGTGAGAGTGCCCTGGGTTCAATCCCCATTTAGGGGAGGGGACAGTGACACAGAAAGACAAGTGGCAGTGAAGGACCGAGCTGTGATGGAAGCCAGACCTTCCCTGTGGTCTGGGGGTAGTGGGCCCACCGGAGGCAGCACAGTCCCTCAGGCGAGAGCAGGCTGGAAGGGAGGGGAGGGCTCGGCCTGGCTTCCCAGGGCGCCTGTCGGGGGCCTTGCACAGCTCTGTGGGAGCAGCACCCGCACACGTGCCCCACGAGCGAGCAGGGCAGGCGCACCTGGAGCAGGGGAGAACGTCGCGGGAGTTCCAGAAGGAATGATGCTGTAGCCCTTCGCCAGCATCTCCGAGAGGTTGCTGAGCCGCTGGGACTCCTCACTGCCTGGGGAGGGGGCCTGTGGCCGTGAAAGGTGGGCACCAGCCACCCCAGCCCGGCCTCCCCGAACCTCCCCTGGACAGCTACCTGTCAGGTCGGTGGTGCYTCCATTGTCAGGGACCCCGTCTGCCTGAGGCAAGCACAAGAGAGGCGGGCAGCCCAGCGAGACCCACAGCAGAAGCACCAGAGATCCCCAGGCGGCCATCACTGCAACAGCCAGCCGGCCAGAGGGACGAAAGGAAGCCTTCCAGGCCCGCAGGGCCTCACCAGCGGGGTCTGAGGAGGGAGCTCTGCTCCCACAGAATGCCCAGTGATGGCACAGAGCCACCAGTGTGAGGTCAGCGCGAGTCACRGCAGCGAGATTCCTTCACAGAACCCACCAGCCACCGCGAGGCAGGGGATCAGGACCGGTCCTGGCCTCCTGAGGGCAGGGAGCGGGAGGTGGAGAGGCATGGCCACCAGCAAGGTGCCCTACGGCCCAACGCTGGGTAGTGCCTGGTCCACATGGCTTTATCCCTCTACGCCTAGAAAATAGGAGGAAGAAACAGACCCCACCTGCCAGGGTCACCACGGGGACAAAGTACAGCCAGCCACACACACTGGGAAGAACCAGAGGCCCAAGGACATTGTGTGGGACAGGGACGTCCACAGTAAAGTACCTCCATGCCTGTCCAGCCTCAGGCACCAGGGTCCTCCCAGCTGCCTCCAAGAGTTCCTCTAAGGAAGACCAAGAGAACCATCTCAGAACGTGGAAGTGGGTGGAAAACCAGATGACCTAGAGACCACCAGGCCGGGCGCGGGGTGCCCACCTGTAGTCCCAGCAACTCGGGAGGCTGAGGCCAGAGAGCCTCACAACTTAGCAAGATCTTGCCTCAAAATAAAATAAAAATAACAAGGGCTGGGATCTGGCTCACTGGTAGGGCAGCACTGGGTTTCATCACTACGACCAAAAATCCAAAAACAAAGACAAAAACAACGAGCCGGGCCCTGAACAGGCTGTGCTCCAGAGGCGTCCGCTCCCCAGCAGCCACAAGGCGACCACAGGGCTCAGAGCCTGGGGAGGAGCTGCCTCCATCCACCCCCCAGGGGACCCCAGCACAGCACCTTCCCAGCATGCGGGTGGGAGGCAAGCACTCCCCACAGTGACCCCGGGACACCAGCCAGGGCTGCTGTGTCCAGGACACCCCCTGCTCCCAACATCTGCCCTGAGTCCCCCTTGCTGCCCTCACAGTCCTCCAGCCCAGGCTGCCCCTGCGCCGTCCCCTCAGGCCTGGTCATTCCTCATAGGTGCTGCCGTCTCCATGGACTTGGCCTTTAGTGTCCATGGCCCCTGCTGACCCCCGGAGGCACCACCTCTTGAAGTGGTTTGGGATGGTCACTAGCCTCACTCACTGTTCCTGTGGCTGAGAGCGCCTGGCTGTTCCCGACACGGCTCAGCCTTGGCTTTACAGTTCATCGCCCGTCCCAGGGGCTGGATGCCATGGTGGCCATGGGTGCTGACCACCGTGAGCCTGTGTCTCTCCCTCCATCTCTCACTTCAAAACTGGGAGTCGGGAAGCATCTCCAGGAGGCAGAACACTGGCCCGACTGGGAGGCGAAGAGTTCCGCTGCGTCCAGCAGCTCATTTCAGAGTGGACAGAGGAGAGCCACCTGGGCAGTGGCTTCCAGCCATCTTCTGGTCTGCACGGCCAGGCACACATCCCCACGCAAGCAGGTCCGGTAGCCGGCTCCTGTTTCTGTGGCACACAAAGCGACATCCCTGCTTGGGGTCTCAATTCCCAGCTGACACTGAGGTGTTTGCTGAGACTGGGGTCATGGGAAGCCGGGCGGGCCCTGTGGGCAGAGTTCAGTGCCTGGCTCTCAGGACGGAGGTCCCACTTTCCTGCTCTCTGCATTTGCATCCGTCCTGTTTCCAGCCAGGAGAGCATCTCCATCAATTCCCAGGTGGTGCTTCCTTCCTCAAGGTCAGCAGGAAAATCCCTCCCAGACTTTGAAATTCTACCTCAGCAAGAACCTGCCCCGTTTAAGGACTCAATTGATTAGGCCAGTCCCACTCAAATGGTCTCCCTTTTCATTAATTCACAGACAACGGGCTTGGGACTTTAATCACATCACAAGGCACAGCCGCAGGCCTCCCACAGGCGAGAGGCCTGCCTGCACACCAGGGCAGAATTCTTGAAGACCATTTTAGAAGTCACCACCACAGGATCCAAAGCCTTGGAGAACCTTCGTAAGATGCAAGGCACAGGCCCAAACTGAAGGACCCGCTGCTTGGGCACCTGGGTGAGTCCAGGGTGTGGTCAGCTTCCAATGGCTCGGGAGTGTTGGAAACCCACAGGCCTGTGGGCCCAGGGGGGGGGACTGATAAGGAAACTGCCCAGAGGCTGCTCCCGGCACTTCCATGTCCACCAGAACAGGCGTCTCCTTCCTGACAAGCAGCTGCTTTGTGGCTGGGCTTTGGGGTCACTGGTTCCTCCCCTCTGCCTCCTGGGAGTGGACCTCAATCCCAGGGCATGCTGGGCCTCCAGGGGAGGCTGAAGGGCTGGACACCCCCGGGCCCCTCAACCTAGCTACAGCTGTGCCCGACCACACCTGGTCAGCACAGGCACGTGCAGGGGTGAGCCAACGGCGGGTCCAGGCCGCAGCACTTGCTCTTTCAGGGTGGACACGTCCTTTAGCGAACGGTTCATGAGACCAAACGTGGACACCTGCAGGCTGGTGGCCTCTGATCAGGCAGTCTTTCCCTGACACGGCTCCCACCTGGCCTCCCTTCGGGAGCCCCTGCCTCACACATGCCGCCCCCGTGGGCACCCCGCCCCTCTCCTGGTGGTGGAAGGGGGACGAGCGCGGCCTGTCTCCGGGAGCCACTCTCCCGTCAAGGTGTTCCTCTGGGTGGCGTGGCCATGTGGGGGAAGCAGCAGCGGCCAGGAGGTTAGAAGTGAGACTCGGTGCCAGCGCACCCSAGCCCAGCCTGCTCTCTGGGCTGAGACCGCTGAAGCCATGAGCCCCCACGTAGACGTCCTCCTCTAAAGTSGTCCGTCAGTCTTCTAGTCACAGCAGCAGAGCAAGCCGACAAGGGCGCTCTGTCAGGGAAGCAGGCAGCAGGCATCGCTGGCCCAGGGGCTCCCCAGCCAAGGGGCTGCCGGAACCACGCTGCAGGCCAGTCCTCGGGAGGGAGCCCTGGCTGTGGAGGGTGGCACGGAGCCTGCAGAGAGAGCTCAGGACAAGAAGCTGGGCTTGGAGGTCAGGGTCAAGGGTGCTGCGGGGGGAGGCACCGAGGCCGCAGGGCAGGAGCTGGGAGCGCCTGACAGTGAGGACTGTGGCTGCGGGTCAGACGAGAGCCATCTGGAGGCAGCGGGTGACAAGGGGGAAGAGCAGAAGCCAGTGTGCAAGGGAGTGTCCAGGGGGACCCACAGCAGGAAGGCGAAGGGGGACGTGATGGCTGGAGGGGACTGGGTCTGTTGGGTTTCAGAGTTAGGGAGGGGAGGCGTGGTGAAAGGCACACGGCCGAGGGGCAGGCAGGGGGCAGGCAGGTCGGACCCAGCCCCAGAGGGGTCCTGGAGTCCTGGACACAGGCGCACTAACAGCACTGTGCTTCAGGGTGTGCGTGCAGCTGTGGGGGATTTCACCCGACTCCTGAAGGGGCTGAGCCACAGGAGGCCTCTCAAAAACATCTTAAAGGTAATAAGGCTGGGATAAGTCCCCAGGTAAGTTGCCAGGGTAAACTGTGGGTCCCTGGGAGTCCAGACCCACTGCTGGGGTCCGACCTCATCACACTCGGGGCAGCTCTGGACACAGGTGCTCTGCCACGGAGACCTGCTGACCCCACCTCTCCTAGGGCCTCTGAAGGCCACGGGATGAACCATCCACTCTGTGAGTCCAGCAACGACGCCTCGCATGGCCACCAGTGCACCAGGCCCTGTGGGCAAGGGGATGGCACAGTCACGCCTGTGGTCGGACAGTGAACACAGCCTCTCCACAGAATGCGGCCATGTTGCAGGACCTCCTGGGAGTCCTGACTCCCCAGGACGAGATGGCCCTTGTGCAGCGCTGACACCTACCCAGGAAGGGTCCTTGGCCCAAGTTCTTGGCTCCCTCCTGCCCCTTCCCCTCACTCTGGGTGGACTGGCGAGGTTTCCCTTCACTCCTGACCTCCCTGTTTTCACCTAAAGATTAAAAGAGGCACACACTGAACAATGAGACCCTGGGCGACGCCCTGGCGTGCACAGGTCCAGGGAGGGCCCCAGGCCCCCTGCCCCATCATCCTCAGAGCTGCCAGGGCCAAGTGCCAGGAAACCCAGATCCCAGAAGATGCAGCAGTTCCACACTCAACCCAGATTTCTTCCTATTCCCCAGTGATCCGAGCTCAACTTGTGTTAATGCTCTGGGACAAAGGAGACAGTGACTTCGTTTCTTTTTGCTTAGGATTTTCTTGAATTTTATTATCAAATCTCCACTATAGAAACACTAAACAAAAGGGGAACATGAGGGTGAAGTATCACTAGAGAYGCAGAGCACAGTGGTTGGGACACGGCCTCTGGAGCCAACCTCAGCTCTCCTCCTTACTAGCTCTGGTCCTCAGCYGGGTTCCCCGACATTTCTGCCTTGGTTCCCCATTTGGAAAACTGGGGTAATGGTAGTACCTAGTTAATGGGATTAAACAATTTAATATCTGAAAAGCATTTAAAACAAAACGGCAAATGATAAGTGCTATAAGTACCTGAAGAACAAAACGAAAACATCTTAAATTAAGTGGGTTAATTTCTCCATGGGCCCCTCAGGTCCTTATCCATATACACATTTTTTAGATCTGTTATAGTAGATATCACACACAATTCTATGTTCTTTTAATTCCTTTGTGCTAGGTATATTGAAGCCATGTCCAAAGTAATAATTTATAGTGATTGCCTAAAACAAATTACCAACTACCACCCAAGGAGGGAGTCATGAGCAGAGACAGGCAGTGGACCCTGGCCCCAGGTGGTGAGTCACCTTCGGCCCACACCAGCCTCTCCCTTCCAGGCTGCACCCTTTCTGCCCTCAGTGATCTCACGCACTCATCTTGTCTAAGGAGTTCATCTTGAGCAACAGCAAACACCCCACTCAAAACTACACTATTTCCTTTCTGGAACCAGATTAATATCCCATATTCTACCCCTTAAAGGGCACTAAACCCTGCCCCTATAAAAGCCAAATCTATCTGCATTTCTGTAATTATGCATAAAACGGTGTTACAAAGATTTCCACCCACATCTCAGCTCCTTGAGAAGTACATTCCAGTCCAACCCGCTCTGCACGACCCCCCCACAGAGCACACGATCACAGAGGTGGGAGCTCCTGCTGAAGGGTGCCCCCGCCAGATCCTCAAGCACAGGCTCCCGGTGGGCTGCGTGCGGAGTCCAGAGCTTCCTTCTCTGTGTTGATATGAGGCTGAAAGGGCTGAAGACTGCAGAAACCCTTTCCCTAATTTTCTCATTCATACCATTACTTCTAAGATATTCCCTACTGAAGGAGAAAGGGGGAGTCTTATTGAATTCTTAATGAGAAGCTTTCCCTTTTGATTTTATTTATAGGGTTTTCTCCCATAGGTCATCAAATGTACAAGAAATGAAACCCTCTGATCAATTCAAGGACGTTTCTCCTCGCTGTGACTCCTCTGGTGCTGAAGCAGGGCCGAGTGGCCGCTGAAGGCTCTTCCACACTGGCTGCATATGAAGCGCTTCTCTCCACTGTGCATTCTCTGGTGGATGATAAGGGAGGAATTCTTACAGAAAGCTTTCTCACAGTGGTTACACTTGTAGGGCTTCTCTCCAGTGTGGTTTCTCAGGTGCACAATCAGGGAAGAGCTCTCATTGAATGCCTTCCCACATTCATTACATCTGTATGGTTTCTCTCCAGTGTGAGTTCTCCGGTGTGCAATAAGGTGAGAGCTACAGTTAAAGGACCTTTCACACTGATTACATTTATAGGGTTTCTCACCAGTGTGAATTCTCCGATGAGCCACCAGGTGACAGCTCTGACTGAAGGACTTCCCACATTTATTGCACTCATAGGGTTTTTCTCCAGTGTGAGTCCTTTGATGCCTAACAAGGTGAGCCATTTGGCTGCAGGATTTCCCACATTTGTTACATTCATAGGGCTTAATTCCAGAATGAATGATTTCATGCTTAGTGAGGGCTGAGCGTTCTCTGAATGCTTTGCCACATTCCTGGCAGTTATAGGGTTTCTCCCCTGTGTGAGTTCTCTGGTGGGCAATGAGATGGGAGCTCCAGCTGAAGGATTTTCCACACTCAGTGCATTTATATGGTTTTGCTCCAGAGTGAGTTCGTTCGTGTTTACTAAGGGCTGAGTAATCCCTAAAAGCCTTCTCACACTCGTCACATTTAAAGGGCTTCTCTCCAGTATGCATTCTCATGTGGGCAATGAGGTGGGAGCTCCAGCTGAAAGACTTCCCACACTCTGTACACTCAAAAGGCTTCTCTCCAGTATGAGTCCTCTGGTGTCCAATAAGATGGGAGTTCCAGTTGAAAGATTTCCCACACTCATTACATACATAAGGTTTTTCTCCTGTATGTATCCTCTTGTGTACAACAAGGTGAGAATTCCAGCTAAAGGCTTTTCCACACTTGTTACATTCATAGGGTTTTATTCCAGTGTGAGTCCGCTCGTGTTTAGTAAGGGCGGAACGATTCCTAAAAGCTTTTCCACACTTGTCACATTCATAGGGCTTCTCTCCAGCATGACTCTTCTTATGCTGAATCAGGTAGGAGCTCCAGATGAAGGACGTGCCACACTCACTGTACTCAAAGGGCTTCTCTGCATTGTAAGAGCTTGTGTGTTGAGTGAGGAACGAGTCATACCCAAAGACTTTCTCCCACTCATTGTATTTACACACTTTCTCTACAGCACCAAGTTTCTGATGTTCCATAAAGGATGAGAAGTAAAAGATATTCTCATATTCTTTGTAATCATACTGGTTTTCTCCCATATGGAGTCTTGGATGTTCATTAAAGGATGGGCTCTGGTTAAAGATTTGATGGCACTCCTTATACTCATACAGTTTTTCTCCTGTGTGCATTCCTTTATGATCACCAAAATGTATTATATGGTTGAAAGACTTAACAGCATCAGTACATTTGAAAAGATCATCCCCAGTTTGCATTTTTACAGGGTGAACAGGGTGGAGGGACTGGTACAGGGCTTTGTCATAATCACTGTTTTCACAGGTGATCTTATCTGCATACATTATGGCTGAGTTGCACCTCCAGCTTTCAGCATGMACATCAGGTTTATAGAAATGCTCTAACTGAGAAACCCTCTGACAGGGAACGAAGTTTACGCTCTGGCTATACTCTGCCCCCAGTCCACAGAATTCAGAATTCAGTCCTCTCTGAGACAGGACTTGTTTTTGCATGAAGACCATTTGCCTCATAGCTGTACTCTGGTTTGTATGGCACATTTCTAATTGGTCTTTACATCCCCAAACTCCTAACCTAGAAAACCAAGGATCATCCCATATGTATCTTTTCAACTTCATGCCGTGGGATTGTTCTTCATTGAAAGTACTCTGTGCTGGGATCAAGGCACTGCTTTCATGACCTCTCATCCACTCTAAAAAGAAACAGAAAAGAGCCGTGAGGACACGGAGACCTAGGCTGGAAGGGTGATGAGCTTCATAGTCCATGCTATTGGAAGGCAACAGTGAATCTGTTCTCTGGAAGCCAGAGAAGTATCACAGCAGACAAGAGTGAGAAGGGAACACTGTTTACCAGAACACAACCCACACCACTGAAGAGGACTTTCCCATGAAAAGCAGAACCAGAACAAGGGTGTGCAGAAATGAGCAAACTTTGTCAGACTGTGTGCTTAAAACTGCACATCACCAAGATGGCCTGCTTCAGGACTGGCCCTGGCCCACTCCTGGGAATTGAGGTCTTGAAGTATTGTAACTGGTAGAGACTGTGACATGCTCCAGCCCTTGAAGCACACCTTACCTGCTCCTCCAGGCATCTCTGCAAGCCCTGCTGATCCTGGTGAGCTCTCTACCTGCTCCTCCAGGCATCTCTGCAGGCCCTGCTGATCCTGGTGAGCTCTCCACCTGCTCCTCCAGGCATCTCTGCAAGCCCTGCCATTCCTGGTGAGAAGCTCTCTCTACCTGCTCCTTCAGGCATCTGCACAAACCCTGCTGTTCCTGGTGAGAAGCTCTCTCTACCTGCTCCTCCAGGCATCTACGCAAGCCCTGCTGATCCTGATGAACATCTGCTTTCCCTCTGGAAGGATGGAGTTCAGGGATTGCAGTAAGGTGTGCTGGCACTCTGCCCACATGAGCAACACCTCAAACACCCTAGACTCTCAGGCTCAGGCAGGTTTTCCAGCAGAAAACACTTCACATGGGCGTGTGTACCTCCACTGAAGAGCTGATGGAGACCTAGGCCAGGTTTCCTCTGGGCTGAGCCCTGCACACCTTTTCCTTTTGCTTGTAGGCCTTCATTATGACAAACCCCAGATCTGAGCACATTGATACCTGTGTGTGTGTGTCCTCCCAGAGGGCAATGAACCTGGGTTGGTCGTGGGGACTAAAAGGACACGTGAATGCTCTTAAGGTATGGGGGGAAAAGGGAAGGGAAGGGAAGGGCAGGGCGACTGGTTCAATAAAAGATGGAAATGCAGGCTTAGAAAATAAGGTGCAAATCACCTAAGAGTGTCCTGGCTTACTTCTATGTTAGAACACCTTCATCATTCCCATCTTGACACCTGCCCCCCAAAAAGGAAGATGGGTGGGGTGAGAGAGAGCACCACCAGCAGACAGGAGCTTATCTGTGACAAAACGCTTTCACATTGTGTCTGTATCACGGAGTCCAGTTGAAGAGCAACACCATCGTGGTTTCAAAACACCCCCTAAGGTTACAATTCTTGTGAACTACACAATCATTTTTAGAGCAATGACCCAAGATATGGACTGGAAAAGCAGGTGCATGACAAAAAAGCCAAGGGAGTCGCAGCCTGACCATCTGCACTCAAATACTGGTGCTGCCCTGTCCCTGTGTGGACTTTCCTGATGACTGGCTGAGAAAGAATCCAGCAAAATGCTGCCAAATTCCCTCCTTTCCCTTCAGCAACAAATCCTCACTGCTGAGGCAGCAGCCCTGCAGCAACAGGAGTCTGCTATTATGATAGATGCTCACATGCTCAGTGGCTTACAGTAACACAAGTTTATCATGGCACAGTTCCGGAAGGCAGCAGCCATCAAGGTGTGCCCTCCCCAGTGGCTCTGGGGAAGCCCTGCCCTTGCCCCCTCCAGCCTCGAGATGCTGGCTACCCTCTGCAGCTTGAAGCTTGCTCCCCATCTTCAAAGAACAGCACTCCCACCTCCACCTCTGTCCCACCTCCCGTCTCTCTGACCCTCCTGCCTCACTTTTGTTGAGGACCCCCATGATTTCATTTAGAATCTACCCGGATGAGCCAGGATGATCTCATCTCAGAATCTGTAATTTATTCACATCTGAGAAGCCCCTTCTGCCACACAAGGTGCCCTGTTCGCACGCCCTGGGGGTCAGAGTGTGGACTCCTTTGGCAGCCATCACACAGCTTCCCACGAGTATCCAGTGGGACCAGACTTTGTTCTCTTTCTCTAGCTTCTCTTCTCACTTCCCATGCACCACCTTGCTCTTTACGCACCTGAATTCATCATAACAGAAGCTTAACTCTGTTTGAGAACTGGCACTGATTACAAACTTCACACTTAGCTCTGAGATGTGAGTGCACCTTCATTTAGTTCTCAGATTCACTCCAGAGAAACTTAAGATGGTAGCTGACCAAATATAAGACCAAAGAACCGTTCCTGTCCAGCTCTACACAATGCCAGTGGCCCACGGAGCATGCACCAGAGACAAGCCAGAAGCACAGGAAGTCAGTGAACATGACAGAGCCAGGACATCAACCCCATCCCTCTGGAAAGGTGATTTTAAAAGTGGCTATATGGTCAAAATCAGATTTTCAGAATTCTGAAAATGAACCAGAGACTCAGATCAACCAGAAAGTGTTAAACAAGAAAAATAACAGTATCAATAAGGACAGTGACCTTTGTGGGTTTCAGTAATGTATCCTAGTCCTATCAGGGGCTCCCCAGCTCATCCGTAGTCCTGAAAAATAATAGCCCACGTGTCCAATACTGGGCGAGAAGAACAGAGCTGGAGCTTCTCCTAAGCCTCATTCCCAAACAACAGTCAAGAGTGGTCCTGCTTGTGGTCCCTAGAAACCCCAACAGAAAAGGTCACCTCTGTCCTACCTGACGGGGAACTCACAGTGTGCAGCAAGCCTTGAGGGAGCTGGCCAAGCCTGCACCTCAAGCTGTCAGGGGCAACAGCAAGCAGCTAGGTCCAGCAACACCCAGCTAGGCCATGAAAAGGACAAGCTCAGGAGTGAGATGCACACAGGAGCTCTGAGAAGCCCCAACCAAGAGGGCCACACACCCACATCGACAGGAAAACTACAAAGAGAGAGAACTGTCAAGGGAGAACTCTGAAAGCGGCAGGAGACAACTCCTCACACACAGGGGAGCCTCAACAAGTGGGCTGACATGAGTGCTTCTCATCWGAAACCGTGGGGCAAAAACCGTCCGTCCACCAGGAATCTTATATCCAGTAAAATTACTCTTGGAAAACAAAAGAGTCAAAGAGATTCCCAAAAAACAAAACCTGGAAGTTGCCAAACCCTCCCCTAAAGAAATGCTAGTAGCCGGGCACAGTGGAGCACGCCTGTAATCCCAGCAGCTGGGGAGGCTGAGACAAGAGGATCGCAGGTTCAAAGCAGCCTCAGCAATGGCAAAGCACTAAGCAGCTCAATGAGACCCTGTCTCTAAATAAAAAAAAAAAAAAATAGGGCTGGGGATGTGGCTCAGTGGTTGAGTGGCCCTGAGTTCAATCCCTGGTTCCACAAAAAAAAAAAAGAAAGAAAAGAAATGCTAAAGGGAGCCCCTGAGGCAGAGAAGAAAGAACCACAGGCAGCGACTGCAAGTGAAGACCAACAAGAAAACCACAGATGTGAGGGCAAGAGGGGGCACGTGTCTTCGGCTGGTAACTCCCACTTCCTATTTGATTCAAAAGGCGATAACAGAGCAGCAGTTATAAAATCTCTGCTAGACACACAGGAGGTGACTCCTGAGAACAGCACAACAGGAAGGCAAGCCACAGCGAAGCAAAGCTAAAATACGGTCAAAATAGACTGGTACTAACTAAATGAGTCTGTTACAAGTTGAGATGCAAACTGCAGTGCCCAGAACCACCAGGAAAATGACTGGAAAACGTACAACAGCAGAGCAGCTGCGTCCGTGGGGTGCGTCCAGGTGCGGCTGCGGTTCTGGTGGGAAGAGCAACCTGAGCGAGCAGGCAGCTTTCAGGAGGCTTTCACTTTACGGTTTAGCAGCTTCGGTTTGAGACATGAATTTGCTGCCTAAATAAAAACTACTTTCTTGGTTTTTTCATTTTTAAAAGAAGAGTTTGTGGCCACAGGCTACAATTTGGGAAAAACAGAAAAAACAAAAGTTTTAAAGTTAAGTAAATGAAAGAGCAGTCATCTCAGAGAAGGGACAGCAGAGAAGGTGAGCACCATCGAGGGGTGCCCAGGGCTGGGAGTGGCCCAGCGAGCTGTTCTGACAGTCAGGTGGGGCGGCTGTGCTGAGAAGACAGCAGGAAAGTCAGGTGCCAGGGGGGGAGCTCCTGGGAGGGAGGCTCCAAGGTCCCCTTCTCTCACACAGGGGCCTGCCCTCACCTGGACAAGAGCTCTCGGGACACGTCTGCTCCACCAACCACGGTTCTTCTCCTTGTTCCAACAGGGAGATGACCTCAGGCTTGGCAATCTGATTCCCTGTGTGTGGAAGGAAAATGGGACTGTGAATCAAACAGGAGACAGCAGAGACAGACCTGCCCAGTCCTTCCACAATGCCRGGCCTGAGAAAGACGCTGTCCACTCCCCCAGTGGTGCCCCACTCACGACATCCCCTTGACCAGTCCTCATGCAAGGTCCCACCAGGGCTGAGGAAGCACGGGTCCTCGTACCTCATGAGTACTGGGGCTCCAGATCACCTCAGCCCTGAGAACTGGCCCCCGCCAGGGAGCCCCTGGGGCACTGCCATCTTCACAGTGTCACTCACCCACAGAGAGCAGGTGCCCATAGGTCTCCAGCATCACGTCCCGGTACAGAGTCCTCTGCACAAGATCTAGTTGCCCCCACTCTTCTTGGGTGAAGTCCACAGCCACGTCCTCGAAGGTCACTGGTTCCTAGGGAGCACGTGTTTCTCAGCCAGGGCCCCCCTCCAAGGTTTCCAGGGAAAGAACAAGACTGAAAGCCTGGAAGAGGAGACTGCAGGGAAGGGCCTCCTGGAGAGAGTCAAGAATCTGGCCCTTGTGGGCTGGGTCTCACCCAGGGCCCACACTGGGCAACTGGACGTGTGGGGCCCCAATAACCCAGCAAAGAGGAGCAGGTGTCTCCCAGTGACACCAGGTGGTGTGGACAGCTCACCTGGGCAGTCCCCTCCCTGCAAAGGCAGGCCATGAAGCCCAGATCAGAGTGGGAACAAGCTAAGGACACCAACAGCAGGCTAGAGACCACGGGGCCAACTCTGTGCTCCCACATGGGAACTCAGGCCCGGGAAGGGACTCAACATTCACATATGACCTCCTGGCCACCGTGGGGAAGCTTCCACCCCAGACCCTCCCTGTCCACTCCCAGGCCCTCTGAATGCATCCCCAGACCACCCCCAAGTTCATCCCAGACCCTCTCAATCCCTCTCAAGGACTGGAGCTAAGGGTGAGCAGGATGACCCAGGGTGGCTGGGCCAAGGGTAATGAGTCACAGTAGCCATCAAAATATGTGACCTAAATAAAACCCACACTGACATAAGAGAACAGGAAACTACAGGGAAAGGTGAAGCCTGACTTTTACAATGAAGACATCCCTGACAGTTCCTCTCAGAGATGAGTTGTGTGCCTCAGGCACCTGGCATCCAGGGGGGCACAGGGGGCAGTGAGTTCCTGCTCACTGGGCCTCACAGCCCACCATGCACATGGTCCTGACAGGGGCAGAGCCAGCCTAAGACAAACACCTGCCGAGCAGACAGGTGTGCAGAGCATCACTTCTACTCTGAGGGTCCCTGGACCCCTCCCTGCCCTCCCAGCACCCACCTCTCTCCTCTTCTGTCCTTGCTAGGCACAGCTCAGACACAGCCTGTGACCTCTAATCTCAGTGACCGACTCTCTCTCTGCACCAGAACTGCACCTTCCACTCACACCGTGACTGGCCTGAAGAGCCATCCCTGCCACAGCTCCCTGGAGACCTGCCAAGGCCCCACAGCCACTTGTCGCAGTCCCTTCCYCACCTGTGCCACGCATTTGCGGCAGCGAACATGCGCTAAGTGTAGAGACCAAGAGCCCTGGTGCCGAGTGACTGCTAGGCCGGGGGGTTCCTGCCTTGGGCTCCGACCCTCTGCAGCACAGACGGGGCTGGCACATCCCGTGAGCCACTTCTGACTGTGGGCCTGTGGGCTCCGTGCTGACCTCCTGCTTCTCTCACAGCCCTGTCCAGACCTGTTTGCTTGATGGCTACCTGTGTCTCTGCATTCTGGGATTCTGTCTCAATGGGACACAGGACAGAGAAGTGCACAAACCCTAAGCTCATGAGCTTTCAGAGCACAACACCTGTGGGGCAAGCTGGGAGGCCCTGCTCACTGTCCACACACCTCCCACTACCTGAACTCCCTGGGGTGGCACCTCAGCTGGCCTCCACAGCTACCTGTGCTTCACCAGGTTGCAGGCAGACTGCCACAAATTCACCTCCCAAGACCCCAGAGGAACCACCGATTTTTTTTTTAAGCACTGAAGAATCACACCTAATAGGCACTGCATTGAAGACAAATGAATAGAATGAAATCACTGGAGAAGGGTTTTGCAACCCCTAATAATAAAGTGGATGCTGACAACAACCACGGACAGCAGCTGGGCCAAGGAGAAAGGCCGACAGGGAGCTTTAGGATGGGGGTGGAGGATAGGGGGATAGGAAGGGTAGTAGAATGAAACGGACATTATTATTACTGTGCGTATATATGTGACTGCATGACCAATATGATTCTGCAACCTGTACCCTCAGAAAAATGAGAAATTATATCCCATCTGATTCAAATGTATGATATGTCAAGGTCATTGTACAGTCATGTGTAACTAATTAAAACAAATAAAATTTTAAAAAAAGATGGGGGTGGGGGCATATCACCACCTGCTAATCCATCCTTCGCCTGAAAATCAAGCCACCAGACATTGTGTGCCTTCTGATGCAACAAAGCAGGAAGGGCCAGAGCCACACAGAAGTACTGTCAAAAATACCAAACGGGCCTGGGGCTGTGGCTCAGCAGTAGAGCACTCGCCTAGCACGTGCGAGGCCCTGGGTTCAATCCTCAGCTCCTTTATTAAAAATAAACAAATAAAGGTATTGTGTCCAACTACAGTTAAAAAAATAAATATTCAAAAAAAATACCAAATGGATCTGCACAGCTCCCTAGTCCAACCGGCAGTTCACAGGACCCAGGGGCAGGACTCATTTGATGACATCACAAGGAAAAACCAGGCAAACCAGCCAAGGCACCAGTTTCCTCAGCATACCAGGCACAAGCCATGTGTGGGTTTTCTGTGGATCCCGATACCAACAAACCAACTCTACGAAGATATTTGGGCTGGGCATGGTGGTGCACATCTGTCATATCAGCCCCTCAGAATGCTGAGGCAGGAGGATCACAAGTCCAAAGTCAGCCTCAGCAACTTAGCGAGGTTCTAGGAACTGTCTCAAAATGAAAAAAAAAAAAGACTGGGGATATACCTCAGTGGTAAAGTACCAAAACAGAGAAGACGACATTTTGGGGACAAGTGAGCCAGCCTGAAGTGCACCAGGTACTAGGCAACGTTAAGGAACCAAGTTAAATTCCTGGGTGATAAATGCTCTGTGGCTACAGCCTAAAAGGTACCTCTCTTACAGACCCAGTCATTCTTACAGGTGAAATGATAGGATCTGAGACTTGATTCAAAATACTCATTTTAACAAGAAGGTGGCTGGAGCGAATGAAACGGCAGGAGCTGAAAGCTAGCAGGCGCTGAAGCTGAGGATCATGGGGGCTGTGGAAGGCTTGGAGGCAGGGGACTCCCGCACCATCACCACAGTGATGAAAGGGACTCTGCAGACGTGACTGAAATGGGGAGGTTATCTCAGAGTATCAGGTGATCCGACGTGGCCACACAGTCCTCCTGGGAGGGAGAGAGGGAGGGAGGCAGGAGGGTCAGCCAGTCACAGGATGGAGGCAAAGGTCACAGCACTGTGCTGAAGACAAAGGGCACAAGCAAGGAGGGCAGGTGGCCCCTAGAAACCTGACCGGCAGGAAAGCTGACTCCCCTAGGGCCTCCAGCTGGAACAGACTTCCGCGCTCCAGAAGAGAGAGTCCGTGTTGTTCTAAGCCATCACGTCTGTGGCGGTCTGTCACAAGGGACTGCTGTACGTCTACATCTATGCAGGTGTGGTGGTGCATGCCCACACTCCAGCTACCAAGGAGGCTGAGGCAGGATGGCAAGTTCAAGCAAGTTCAAACCCAAGGAACCTAACAAGTCACTATCGCTACATAAAAAGCAAAAAAAGCTAGAAGTGTAGCTCAGTAGCAGAAAACTCCAAAGAAACCGTGTGCAAGCGCATGTGTGTATTTGTGTGTGTGAAAAAATGGGTCAGCAGCACCAGAAGTTCCACATAGTGTGTCAGAAATGCTGACCCAGTAAATGGAGCAGAGGAAGGCTGCAGCGGGAGCAAGGATGGCTCTGGGCACCTACTTGGCAGGAGGGAGTTGAGCTGGAACACTCGCAGCAGAGCCAGACTCAGGATGGCTCCCCGTCACCCCAATGTGGTCCATGCCACCAGCACTGCACTTGCACCTGGGCAAAGCCCATGAGCATTCTGGACCCAAGTGTGCAAAGTGGGTTCCCAGGCTGCCGCCGGAGTTGAGACCCCTGCAGTTAGGCCTGGGGTCTAAGTGGCCCAAGCTGAGACAGGCAGCAGCACTGACCTGCGGATCCTGGCCACCGAGGCCCACCGCCTCCAGAGAGGGACTTGTCAGGAGGGCGGGCATCTATTCAGCTGCAGCAGACACACACACAGCCTCACAGCCCTTCCCTGGTAAACACAGACAGACCAGAGGACCCCTGGGACAGCAGAAACACCTGCCACCCAGGAAGACAGAACTCGGCGGCCAGGCAGAGCAGCACCCAACTTTCAGTGAACTGTAGGTCCCATTCTCAGCCTCTCAGCCCAGGAAGACTGCAATGGAAAACGAAGCAGACTAGAGAAACACTCTCTGGGGACATGGAAGGCGTCCCAGACGTGGAGAACAGAGGCCCTGCACTCAGCTCAGGACCCCCGAGAGCTCTGTGGAGGTGGGAATGACGGCCAAGCCTCCCTCTCTCCCTGAGGACAGATATGGAATGCAAAGCAGAAATAACAGCCAGCAATTTGTTGAGGAGGCCCATCATTCAGTAGAGGACCCCAGAGCGAGAACATAAAGAAGGAGAAAGTTACCTTTTAAAACACAGTTCTCTTAAAATAAGACACACACACACACACACACACACACACACACACACACACACAGCCATAAACAAAGCTCTACATTTGAAAAAAATGTACCAAGAAACACAGGACACAAGTTAAGACAAGCCACAGACTGGATATGGCAAAGCATGAGGGCCCAGAGTGCATGGGAAATACCTACACAGCAGCACAGCAATGTCTAGAAATCCAAGGACAAGGGAATGAAACAGAGAGAAAATACAAATGGCCAACCAAGACACCAAAAGATATTCTATCTCACTAGTATCCAACTAAAATAATGCAGCAGGACTTTGGGTCATAAGGTCATTTCCCTGCTGAGCCACACAGCAGCAGGCCTGGGAACTCAGCAGCACTCCCCTCCAGGGACATGCTAGGGGAGGTCTCACAGCCACGGGACATTCCCCATGTGGTTTACGGCAAAGACAACAGAGGCAGGCCTCACACGCCCACCCAGAAGAAAGGGTGGCAGGGCAAGCTTCCCCACGGGGCCACCTGGCGTAACCCACCTCTATCAACACAGGCCACCTCAAAGTTCCACAAAGGAAGCTTTAAAGAAGCAACAGGTACAAGGGAGGAAACTTCACAAAGATCAGATTGTACATCTCTGCTGTCTACATAGTTTGTTATGAAAACGAAAAAGCATTATCTGTGTACACACCAGATCCATGACCGGCAGCTCTGGAAAAGAATGAGAACCACTGAGGACAATGTAAAGAAGGAACCCAGCAAACGTGACCACACATCACTCCTCAGAGTGATGGGACTGGTGTTTGTTCAACTGCTTTTTATATTTTTCTATAACTTAACAATCTGTCAAAAGAATATTTAAAATAAAAATTTCCAGAATTTAAAAAACGAGACATTATCAAACTCGGAGGCCTGAGGACTAAAAGCAGGAAGAACCAGTCCAGCTGAATACTCCCCCATGCTAGTGGCCTCACCTCAGGGACAGTAAGAGGACACAGTGAAGAGCTTCCAGAATTGCAATGAAACACAAAGTCCCGGAGCTGAGGGCAAGTCCTCCCCTAGTGTGGAGACGCAGGACCCACACTATTACCTGCTGCTTTGGGGTGATGGGAAGGAATGAGGCCTTCAGCTCCAAAGAAGCCCTTCCAAGCTAAACTCCCTTTCCCATGATGGCTGTGAAGATGCCCCACCAAACCCAAGAAACCTTTGCACATCACTCCGTGCACAAGTATGCACTTGTCTAGGCCCTTCCCACATCTGCTTACTCACAACCCAAAAGGGTCTGAGAGAGGAGTCCAAGGTGTTGATCGGGCTTAGCTGCCTGCCCCAAAGACTATTTCCTGATTGCTCATCACCTGGGTTCCGTGACAGGCTCTCCTTCATGGAACCCTGGGCAACTGGCAACCATTTCTTTGGTATCTCTTTCTTCCCCCAGTACTGGAATTGAACATAGGGCCTCTCATGTGCTAGGCAAGTACCCTACCCCTGACTTCAACCCCAGTGCTTGTTATTAGTATCTTAACTAGACAGTCAAGAAGGACCAAGGATGGGTGCAGGGTATTACTAGTGTTTTATATACCTGTTTTATCATGCAGAAGTTCCTGGTGAATTGCTGCAGAAGGGTTTCAGAGCATTTCCACATTGGGGAGGTTGGCTGGCATTTTAGATAGACTGAAATATTATCACTGCTGTTACTATTGTCCCTTATTCCATGAAATAACAGGATCTGGGCTCCTGCTAGCTGGCACTTCACTAAGTAGCTTGTTCCCAAGAATGGACTGTGCAGGTAATGAGGGATGACAGCATTTGATGTTCTCACCAGGTAGATGCTTTATTTCAATAAATATTTAACTTGGAAGGAACCCTAAAAAGATACAGGCTCATCTGTGTTCCTGAAGTCATTGATTAATTTAAAAAATCTCACAATTCAAGTCCAAGTTTCCCACAGGGAAGAATCCAAATGAGTGTGGGAAGGGGGCCAGGAGCATGGGCTCAGAAATCACAACTCTTCAGACATTAGAGGGTACTGTTGTTTTAATGTTGTTTTATTTTCTCAGCATTAACTCTAATAGGTTCTCAGAAACCCTGACATAAATGAACAGCACAGCACAGCGGTCAGTCAGGCTTCTTCATGGCACTGTTACCACTAACCGGTTCCCAGGAGACTGATTCAGGGCCCGCCTCAGCCTAGGCTGCTGCACTGCGGCTCTGCTACACATCTAGGAATGACTGTACCCACGAGGACAGCAGTGGACCCCACAGCTGCCCAAGTCCAGACCCAGGAAAGCAGCACCACATCACTGCAACCAGGCCCTTCTCCTTCCCAGGAAGCAGCACTGCCTCATGGGGCTACACAATTATGATTCACTTCACCTTTCCGCTTTGAAAATGCATTTTGGTGGAGGTGTAAAGTTAAGTGATGTAATTTGTAAAAGCWTTATAACACAGTGCCTCACATTTACTTGATTCGTTAACTTATAAATMAAAGACCTAAATAATGTAATGAAACTATTTATTTGAAGACCTAAATAATGTGATGAAATTATTTTCTTTGCCTTTTATAACCAGGAATCAACAAAGTAAATGGAAGTTTGATGAATTAGAAAAAATGGATTAAAAATCTCCTATTTAGAAACATGGGATAATCTTAAGAAACTGAAATCAGTTAAAAAATGTGCCTCAATCATGAAAAGGAATAAACACTGATGCACACCCCTACAAGGACGAGCCTGGGACACTGCACTAGGAGAAAGCAGACAGACACTCGAGGCCACAGACCATGGTTCCAGGGACCCGAAGCCTCTGCACAGGCAGATCCATAAAGAAGGCAGATCAGCAGCTGCTGGGCTGGGGGCAGGGGAACAGGGAGTGACTACTAGAGGGTACCGGATTTCTCTTCAGGGTGATAGAAATGTTCTAGAATTAGATGCTGGTGATGTATGTATAACTCTGTGAATATATTAAAAAAAACCCTATGAAATACTTTTAAACAGCACAGTTTATGTGGATATTTCAACAAAGCTATAATGAAAAAAAATTTAATGCCTGCCTCTGGTGGAGACTGAGCAGGAAAGGGAAAGGGACAATGCCTGTCCCACAAGTCTACTGTCCTGTTTCTCTCAGGAGCCACACTGTGCCCTCAGTCCTGAAGCCCCCGGCTTCGACTCCCTGTATCTCTGACCTTGCTCTCCTCCCCAGCTCCACCCTGCTTCCCACAGCCCTGCCCTCCACACTTCCAGGAGCACCCCTCCAGCCACCTCTGAACTTGTACCTCCTGCTCCCAACACTTCTGAGGCTCCAACCCTCCCAGGGTGGAGTCCCAGCTCTCAGCCAGAACGCAGGTTCTTTCGGGTCTCTCCAGTCTGAAAACTAACTGGGGTCAGTCTTTGTCTAGACACTGGCCGTACAGTGCACCCCCAGCCCCAAAACACACCTGAGGTGCTGCAGGTGAGGCCCTTCTTCTACAATGCCCGCCTGGCTGATGCATGCCCTCCTGGCTCCGATCTTCCACAGCTGCTCTGTGCCCACTGGCCTCAATGCAGTTGCCCATCTCCCAGCATCAGCTGGACTGAGCTGCTCAGGGCCCTCCCCACAGAACACAGGCAGCCCAGGCCACCTATGAGATGGCATTAGCTRGTGAATGACTTCTCTAGAAAGGAGTCTGGGAGGTTCTCAGGGTAGAGGCTGACACCTGTCCTTGCATTCCTTCACCAGTCAAGGAGGGCACTATCCACATCAGCCTCAATCAGATCTGAATACATGAAACAGGTGGGAGGAGGAAGGGGGGCTGCCAGCCAAGTGGGCCACCCTTCATCCGCACAGAACCCTAGGAGAGTTGTGGCTCAGCACTCTGGACAGGCGGGTTGTGACAGACTCTAAGTCATGGACCACTGATGAATTCTCCCCACCAGCACTCCAAACATGAACATCTGGCTGATTCCTTTTCTACCCAAACCCTTGCTATTGTAAACTGAGTAACCACCATGATTGGGATGGCCAGTGACAACGTGGACACACATCCTTTGGGAATACAGTTCCCCTTCAGGAAAAAGGGGAAGCCCATCTCACCTGGACCTGGGCTGCTGGGTGCCCAGCAGCCCTCCTCCCCTCCTCGTTGCTCCCATCCATGAGCCACGCAGAGTCCTGAGGACACAGAGCTAAGGAAGGAAAAAGAAGTCTCGGAGGCAGCTCTTTCCTTACAACAGCTCCACCCACCAGCGCTCCCTCCTGGGGGCTGAGGAAGACTAGCTGCCCTCCCTTCATGGCAAAGGAGCAGACTCGCTTCTTCACTCAACAGAAGGCAATGTGGCCCAGAAGAGGAAAAGGCACACAAGTGAACACACCAGTCCCTYGCTGACCCCCTGTCATGGGCAGCAGCTGGAGCCCTGACGGCTGCACATTGACTCCCACATCCTGCCCTGGGCTGACCTCATCACTCTTTCCCCCCCAGGAGCCCTCCAGCTCTGAACAGGGTCAGATCTGGACCACAGATCCCTGCCCTGAAGAACCCCCAGGTCCCCACTCTGACCCCAACTGAGGCAGATCAGTGCAGGGTGAGGCCACATGTGGCAGTCAACATGGCCGAGGACATGGCTCTCAACTCACCCCAGGAGGCCCACGGGTCAACAGCTGCCATCCCCCAGGACTGGTCCATAAGGGCACCTGCACAGAAGGATCAGGTTAGGGCTGTGACACCAAGCCAGGTGAATAAAGGTGACAAAATGGAAAAGGAGGGCTGCGACTGCGGCTCAGCGGTAGAGCGCTGGTCTCGCAAATGTGAGGCACTAGGCGCGATCCTCAGCACCACATAAAAATAAATAAATAAAGATACTGTGGTCATCTAAAACAAAACAAAAAATGGAAAAGGAGACTGCCTCACTGAGGGGAATGACAAAGTTCCACAGAGCCAAGGCAAGTGGATTTGTAAGGGAAATGCACACAGAGTCAGTGTTAGGAAATGTATCCACACAATGTAACCATAGGACAATTAAAAACCACCTTTTAAAGGCTTGAGGTATCTGACAAATACAGTATTATCTAATTTTTTTTWAAAAATTAGATAATAATAATCCTAATTACTAGGATAGTTTCTTGATGTCTAGTGATGAAAATCTCACTTGAAAATAAAACATACCACTGACATCACACTATCGTTTAACACTGTTTTTAAATTACAGATCAATGCAGCTGGGAATAGTGGCACATGCCTGTAATCTCAGCAACTCCAGAGGCTGAGGCATGAAGATTAGAAATTCAAGGGGACAGCTTCAACAACTCCATGAGGCTCTGTCTCAAAATAAAAAGAAGCAGGGATGTTGCTCAATGGTAAAGCACCTCCGGGTCAATCCCCAGTATAAAAAACAAAAAAGTAAAAGTAAAAAACATGGACAGCTTTAAAGACATTTCTATTATATGTATGATGCTCTTCCAAGAAACCCCACAAATCACCAGAAAATCTTTTGAGTTAGTGTCCCTTTTCAGGAGCTGACTGTAAAATATAAACAAGTCAGTCTTTTTTATTTTTTTAACAGCACTTTTTTATTAGTTGTTGATGGACCTTTATTTTATTTACTTACTTGTATATGGTGCTGAGAATCGAACCCAGTGCCTTACACATGCTAGGCAAGTGCTCTACCACTGAGCCACAACCCCAGCCCCAACAAGTCAGTCTTTTATGCCAACTTTCTCCCCCTTACCAGCAACCAGTTCTAATTCTCTACTAAGACAGGCAAATCCTCTCCCATCCCCCAGAATCCTCAGCCCTGACCCAGTGCTACAGCAGGTCCCATCTAGGGAAGGCCCAGACAACACAGGATTTGGACTCACCCCACGAGGCCCACGGGTTGATGGCCGCCATCCCTGAGGACAGATCAACCAGGTGCCTGTCCAGGAGCACCACCTGCCCAAGAGCACYTGATTCCCAGTCTAGAGACAAAAGTGGAAAAGACAGAGTGGTCCTTTTTCACAGAAGACCCAGTGGGAACAAAGAAGAAAGTAACCCACAGAAGTAACTAAAGAGTCCCCGTAAGCATTACAACGTAGCAGAATTTCTGGAGAGAAATGAAGGGTAACTTGAATAAACCCAGGGTGCCATCTGGATAAGGGTGAAAACTTATCATTCCCAAGAAAGGGAGTCGACTTAGACGGAACTTTCGGATGATCTAACAAAAATTACTGTGAAATCTACCTGCAGATACAGTCATGGTCTAGGGCTGGAAGACGGGAAAGTGGGAGGTGACAGCTCCCATTGGGGTGCAGGTGCCTTCTGGGATTATGAAAATGTTCTGGGACAGACGGTGGTGACTGCTGCACAACTTTATGGAGAGACAACAAAACCACTGAATTGCTCGCTTTAAAACGGTGAATCCTGGGTCTCCTAATCTTAAAAAAAAAAAACAAAAAAAAATGCACCTGCAGGACCTCGAGGCCGGTGCTGGCCAGCCCGCGCGCGTGGCCGAGTCGGGGCCGGGGGGCGGAGCGGAGCGACTGCCGGGCGGCAGGCCTGCGCCGGAGCGCGGACCCGTCCGGAGGCCCGGGGCGCGAACAAAGCGCGGCGGGCCGCTCGCACGCCACGGCGCCTGACGCCAGCCGCCGCCGCACGCCCAGCACCGGCGGTTCCCACCCACGTCTGACGTCCTCCTGCGCCGGCCGGGACGCGGAGCGCCTGGGGCAGCGGGCCGCTGCTGCCGCTCGGGCGGGCCCCGCGAGCGGCCCGCCTTACCTGGCTCGCGGCCCCCCTGCGCGGCGGGGCAGGTCGCGCCCGCCCGAGCCGCGGGCCGAGGGCAACGGGCGCGAAGCCGGCGCGGAAAGAGCCAGCGCCGGCCCCGCCCTAGAGCCGCGCCGGCCCCCACCACTGGCGCCACCTCTCCGCGCCCCCTCTCCCGTCCCCCGGCTTCCGGCGGCGGCAGCGGCAGCGGCCCCACTGCCCGGGCGAAGGCCTCACGGCGGCCGCGGACAATGGCGGCCGCTCCCCCGGCGCCGACCAGGACGTGCCGCGGAGGCTGCTGGGAGCTGTAGTTCACCGGGCCGCGCTTCCGGTCCTGGCCGGAAGCGCCGCGAGGGACGGCACCCCGGCCGCTCTGCTGCGCGACCGCTTCCGCGGCTCCGGGAGTGTACCCCGCCAGCCTTCCAGGCTGCCCTCGCCCGCCGCCTGGGAGACCCGGAGCGGGCGGCCTGAGCTCCGTCTGCTGAGCGCGCTGCGCCGGTCCTCCGAGATGAGGAGCCCGGTCCTGAGCCCCCCTCGCCTGCGGGGCACGCCGCTGCGAAGGCCGGGCTGCCCCGCACCTGCCGATGGCGGGCCCTGGAGGCCCGCCCCGGCTGTTGGCTCGACCGCGGCCCAGGAGCAGGACTGGGAGTGGAACGGGCTCCAGCCCGGGCCTCTGGCCCTAGTTGGCCCATGACCCCAGGCGGAGCCACCGGTGCCCAGGGTCCTAGGGCCTGACCTGTGCGGGGCGTCTTCCCCTCTTCACCTTCTTACTGGGAAAGTAACTTTTCACGCCCACCGGGCTCAGGTCTCGGGCATTCACTGAGCCTAAACCGTGACAGCCAGGATCTACAGTGTAGGGAGGACAGGAGAGCACACGAGGGAAGAAATGGAGTACAGTGGCTCTGGAGAGGGGTGTGCACACCATAGTTTGTAGAGAAGCCATGGCTCAGCTTTGACAGGACGGGGAGAGTGTCCCCAGGAAGCACATTGACCCTTGGAAGACACTTTTGCATGTTCAAACAGATGGAGAGGTGGGTCAGGCCGAGAGGGGAAAGTGCAGAGGCTGAGGAGCATGTTAGAAAATAAGTAGGTGACTTAAGCTGCTGGAGTGGAGAATGTATAGAGATGGACAAGAATGAGGAGAAATGGGGGCAAGAAGACACATTCCTTAAGGAGACCAGAAAGCTGCCAATATAAAGTTGATCAGCCGTATGTTTACTTAATGTCTCTTGTCCTTCAAGACCGAGGACACCAAGATAAGAATCTAGTATAATTTTCAAAATTCTGACTTTGCAGGAAGATCTGAGCCTAGCCCCCCTAAGCAGGATGAGTTACCCCCTGATGGAAACTGAGGCTGCCCCCACCCTGTACACACACACACACACACACACAAGCAAGAGCAGTTGCTCTTGAGTTCTGAATGGCCACTTCAGAGGTAAGACTTCTCCAGAGCCACCTCAGCGAACCAGAGTTGAGAAAATGATCAGCCAGACCACAGTTTGACCAAGATTTGATTATACAGAGTTCCTGCCCCAGTCACAGTTCTTCCTCTGTGCCAGGACTCCCTTTGCCCCTTTGTCTTCCTGCTTTGACATCCAGATTAAAGTTCTTCCTTCTCCACTACTCTTCTTCCATTGGCACCTTGGGATTGGGGGGGGGGGTACTGAGTGTTGGGACCCAGTGGAACCAAGGCCTTCATTCTAAAACTGGTTGGGCAGCTAATTTGGAGAAGGAAGTGTAGGAACTGAGCCCAAACACTGGGTGGCCATGTAGGGTTCTAGATTTGAGTGAGCAGTGTGCAAGAGAGATCTTGGAGGTATTTCCACTAGCAACAGAAGGTCATTAAAGCAGGCTTGTGGGTTGGGTTTGCATGGGTTGTGTTGGGACTCACTGTGGGAAGGCAGAGGAGCGCTTTCCGGTGAATGAGGGTTAGACTAATACAGACTGAATTTGAGAGTCTCACTAGAGAGGTAAGGAGAAGGGAGCAAGGTTCTGGGAGGGTTCCCAGGCAGCAGGAAGGTGAGTTTGGACAAAGAGTGGGTTCTGGAGAGAAAAGCAGTCCATGGAGGGTATGCCCACGATTCCCACCCCTCAGGACGGAGCAGACCGAGATGCTGTAGAGGAGCAGCACTGGAGGTGAGGAAAGTGCTCCCCCAGCTCATGCCCTTGAGGCCAGCCAAGGGCACCTTTAGAATCTCATCAGGTCCCTGCTTCTTTCTGCACTGGCTTCCTGTTGTGGCCTGAGTGAAATCCAAACTCCAGTTCATAATTTAGGACACAGGAGGACAGTTTGCAAGCTCGGTCCATGTCCTGCCCACTCACCCTTGGATTCCAGCCCCCTCCAGCAGGGCCAGCTGGTTCCTGCCTCCAGGCCTTTCTTGCTGTTTCCTCTGGCAGGAATGTTCTTCCTCGTCCAGTTGTGGGTTATTGTTTCTTCCAGATCTCAGGCCATCACATCCTGACACTAACCAGCTCTGACTAGTTCTCCCTAGTTCTCAGTTCATTACCTTCTTTTGTTTTCTGTGTGCCAACACCATCTAAAATTATCTGCTTCGTTTGTTTGTTTGATTGACTGTAAGGTCCACATAGACAGAATCTTTCTGTTTGTGGCTGCAAGGAAGTAACACTGAATTTTCTTGAGGCTTGAAAATGACACAAACATTTCTATAGAAAATGCTAACAAGCAAAGAAGAATCTCAGTAAGTTTCCCTTCTGTAGCCGTGAAAGTATTTGAAACCCAGGGGAGGGAGAGAGGAAATGTAATGACTGCACAGCTGTTCCTTTAAACTTTCAGTATTAATAACAGATAACTATGATTGTTTCCTACACAAGCTGTTTTGTGTCTGTGCTGCCTCTGAGGCTCTGCGAGGTGGGGTCTAGAGATGTGCTAAGTTATAAGGTGGAGGCCCTCACAAAGAGATGAATGCCTTTAAAACAGGTTTGGTGGGGGCACATGTTCTCTGTATCCCTCTCTTCCCTCTTTGCCCCTCTACCTTCTGCCCTGTGAGGGTGCAGTGTTGAGGTGCCATGTTGGAATCACAGTTGCCAAAGCTGCTTAAACTTGGCTCCCAGGCCCAGGACTATTACCCCACACATCCCTTTATACATTACTCAGCCTCAGGAATTCAGCTGTAGCAGCACAGACTAAGCCAACCTCTGAGGTGGAAAGCAGGGAGAAATGTCGTCAGACTTGGTGTCTTAGATCTTAGTCCAGGGAAGGAACTACAGGGTTTCTCCTAAACACAGAACAGGTAATGTAAGGGTCCGGCGAATCGTCGGAGGAAGAGACCACACAAGAGACTGACTTCATGCAATTGGCATAGGGGATTTATTAATTCAGCATGCTGAGGTTCCAGGCTCACTCAGGAAGATAGAGCAGCCCAGAGCCCAGAGGTCAAGCAGAGCTTAAGTACACTTTTTGGAGAGGGCGGGGGGGGGGGGGGCTTTGTATACATCAGAACAAATCATCATGAGGCGCGGGAAAATTGAACAACTCTGAGACATGATTAGTACATTCATTGGCGGGAACAGGCTGGGCAGGGGTGATTGGTCACTCCTAAGCGGGGTACACATTCAAACTGATTGGTTTTGGGGCCTGGATGCCTACGTGCCGAGCTACTCAGAGCCCTTAGCTATTAAACAACCAGGGAATCAGTGGAAATATTTACTGGGCAGTTCGGGTATTGTCCTAACAGCTACAGGGATTACAGGTTCTAGGGGTAGCAGAGGAATTTTAACAATACCTAGTCTTTTACTTTTTAACCCAGGCCTTGCAGTTTAGAAACTTTACAATGCCCTGTCTTTTACACTTTAACTCAGGCTTTGCAGCTTAGAATCAGCTTAGAAATTTTCCCTTTACAGTAATTGCTACATAGATTCTTTTTCATTATGGCTGATCCCCATCCTAAATGACAGTGAGCACTACACATCTGCTAGAATGACTAAAAATAAAATAGAATTGCTTTAGAGTCTTTGAATGGGCAGACAGTTCCTTAATCCTTGGATGAATAGCTACAGGTAGATGGCTGGGTCATGTGGTAGGTTCAACATTTTAAGACATTGCCCATTAGTTTTCCAAAGTGGTTGTACCATTGCATGCCTGCCAGTAGCGAATGAGAGCAATTCCCCCATCCTCACCAACATTGGGTACAGTTACTCTTCTTCTTGCAATTCTAATAGATACATGTTGGTTTCTCACTGTGGTTTTAATTCACATTTCCCTAATTAATAATGAAGTTGAACTTTTTCATGCACTTGTTAGCCATTTGCATATCTTCTTTGACAAGCTGCTATTCAAATATTTTTGTCCATTTTTAAAAACCTGAGCAGTTTTCTTATTGAGTTTTGAGGTCTTTACATGTTCCGGAAATAAGTTCTCTGGGGAATGGGGTGGCAGCCCCACGTCTCAGCTTTGCTGACCTGTGTTCCAGTGTCTCACAAAGACAGACACCCAGTATTACCGAGCCTGCACATCGCAGTTCCTGCTCCTGACACCCAGCTACAAAATTCTCTTTCATGGTTTCCAGTATATACTCGCTAACAAAAGCACTTCTTCACAGACAGGATTCAATTAGATGGATTCCTGCATTTTTTAAATTTATTTTTTAAATATAGGTGGATACAATAGCCTTATTTTTATGTAGTGCTGAGGATCAAACCCAGTGCCTCACACACGTAGGCTATCACTCTCCCTCTGAGCCACAACACCAGTCTGATTCCTGCATACTTTCTCCTGATGCTGAGTCAGATAAACTGATTTCTCATCCCTTTGACAGGCTTCTTGAGGAACTTCCCATTTTCTCTAGG